TCCTCCACGAAAGGCATCCCTCCCTTTAGGCAGATAGCCCTCGTGTGCTTTGCCATAATTAAATACACCAACACCAACACCTTTAGCTCTGCATTATATTCTACCCACCTTCGTTTAATTAATGTCTTTCAGAAATGTTTCCACTTACTGCTGAAAGATGGCAGCACTAGTTTCTAAGTTTATTGACTGAATCTACGTTTTGGTATTCTTTCCCTCTGCAGTTATAAAATGGCGATTTAGAAAATACCTTCCTCAGAATACTTCTTTTTCCCCATCATTTAATTTAGATCCTATGACTTTAAGATATGTAAAGATACAAAATTGTTTCTGGTTATTGTTTGAATTCAGTGCTATATTTACTTAAAATTGCTTTAATTGTTGATATAAATAAAATGTTGCTAATAACGGTAAATATGCGATATCAATTATGTCAAATTCTTATTAAATGAGAACTCTATTTTAAAAATTATTTTTAATGAAAATTTCAATACGAATTGTAATGTAAGAGATATTAATATAAAACAGTCGTGAAATAATTTACTTCCACTGTCTTTTATTTGGAAAAAATAAAGTTTTGAAAATTTTGTCTTCTTCAGAGAATTGCATTGATCTTGCAATAAAGTGATCACTTCAGCTAATTCGGTAAATTTATTATTTAAATTTTGGCATACATCAGAAAAAATATTTCAGTTTGGGTACAAATATGCATTGATCTTGCAATAAAGTGATCACTTCAGCTAATTCGGTAAATTTATCATTTAAATTTTGGCATACATCAGAGAAAATATTTCAGTTTGGGTACAAATATGCATTGGTCTTGCAATAAAGTGATCACTTCAGCTAATTCGGTAAATTTATTTAGTACAAATATGCATTGATCTTGGAATAAAGTGATCACTTCAGCTAATTCGGTAAATTTATTTAGTACAAATATGCATTGATCTTGCAATAAAGTGATCACTTCAGCTAATTCGGTAAATTATTTTTTCACCATTGCGATATTTGAAAGAATAAACACTTCGCTATTCTGGAGAAGCAATGATAAGAAACTCTCACTCGTGTTTCTAACTTACTGTATTGTAAAAAAAAAACTAATAAAATAAAAAATTAAACTTTTTAGAAATAATTTTTTTCATGTGGAAGATTATTTCATAAATATTCAGAAAAGTTAAAACAAAAATGGAAGCAGATCGGTAAATTTTATAGCCAGGGAAGATGCCTAGCGCTCCCGGGTACCTCCCCCATATAGCACGCACACAAGTATAACGCCTCATTTAAGATAGCTTGAAGACGTTGCATAGATGGAAAGATGGAGTTGCAAACTAGCTGAGTTCAATGCATAATTTATTAATTTCCTAGGATATATCCTTGATTGATGCAAGACTAGGCGCAAGGCGCCCCACAGTTTCTATATACGCAGCTTACATTTTAAATAGTAGGAAAAATAAAGCTTAACGAAGAGACATGATTTATCAGCAAATGCAAGCGGCGAAAGCGGATGCGTATTGAGTTTGCAGTAATATATATAAGCTTGGCTTCTTTGTTTTAAACCTGAGTAATGACTGATGAAGAGCTAAAACAAAGAAACCAAGCTTATAAATATTACTGCAAACTAAATACGCATCCTCTTTCGCCACTTGCTGATAAATCATGTCTCTTCGTTAAGCTTTGAGTAATGGCTGGGGAAGAGTTCAGGTATTAATTCCGATTGGTTTCACCTTAGGACGGAAGCCTGGTAGGCGGCGAACGAATGAACGAACTGGGGAAGAGCATTCGCAGTACTTCAAGGCAGTACAGATGCCTTGAAGTGGGTTGTATTTAGATTGAAATTAGGAATTTAAAGGTCTATATGCGAATGAAGTTAGTAATTTTGTTAGTTATTTTCTTTCATATTTTATATTTTACATATATATATATATATATATATATATATATATGTTATCAGAAACAGTTTTTAAATTTTGGCATACATCAGAGAAAATATTTCAGTTTGGGTACAAATTCGACTGTTTAGCAGGGATTTCACGTAAAACCCAGGGGTTTTATTCTTAATTAGAAAATCTGAAATGAAAGCTAAGAGCAAACAAGGCAGAAATTCTATGCGCCAAGGAAATCTAGAGAAAAGGCAAGGAATTAAATCATGGCGCTTAGGCTCAAAATATATATCCGATATATTATGCCGTCGAGTGCTTTGTCGGAATCAAAAAAGGTATTGTCTGAAGCAATAGAAAACAAAAACACGGAACTATTGAAATTATGGAAAAAGCTGACGCAGGCAACTTAAGTACACATCAGACAAATGAACTTAAAAGTATGGGAAATTTCAACCAATCTGCACTGCAAGAAAAATAGGGGAACTTTATATTTAAAAAAATTGCGTGGTTTGCTAAAAACAAGACATTTTTATGAGGCATCTTTACCGTAACGCCATATCAAGCGAAAGACTAAAAAGAACTTCCAAAATATAAATTGTGTAATCGGCTATTAAAAATAAAAGGTATTAAAAATAATATTATTTTTAAATTCAACTAAATCAGTTTTGTTGAAGTAAAAATTTAGGGAATCAAGGCAGGCTGTTTGTATTTAATTATCTCTACGGTATAAAAATTCTGAAAGGTCTGATGACTTGTTGCACAGGTTATCCCAGCATAAAATGCTAGGAGAGAATAATAATAATAAAATGTCTCCAAATGCTAGCAGGGGATTCTCCAGGTGAAGATAAGCAAAACGTGTGTTTATACAGAAAGTGTGTATATACATATATAACAGAAAATGCGTAGTTTGCAAATAATTGCTTTATCAGGACCTACGGACGTGAAAAGCAGTAACAAACTTTTCTGAGAAAAGCATGACTCTCCAAACAAATTTTAACGGCACGTTTCTGTTCGAAACTTTGCACTCAATAATCTATTTAGTGTAATTAACCGCAACTGGGCTGATGCAAAATTCACGTTGGCAGTCTCTTTTGCGCCTCTTCTGTTACTAATGATGGTTCATATATCCAAAATTTATTAAAATATCTGCATACATTTGTAATATATTTTACTCTTTGTAATCTGTTCTGGAAGACATGCCACCCGAATTTTCATAGCTGTTGGCCTCGATAAACTACCAACGTCGAAACTTAACTGAGCAACACGAGATGTCCTCTTTTAATCTTGGCAACCTGGAATTCTAATGGCCAGTTATTCCTTTTCTGAGTTTGTGTTTCTATCTCTTTCGAGTGGGTCAGGGAGCTAGCCTTCCTATCCTGTTCTCATTCATAATCAGCATTTCATAGATAATAGATAATAGTATTTATAATAGATAATAGATAATAGTATTTATTTCCGGCTATATATTTATGAGAAATATTTTGCATATCCTTGGCTAAAAAACGCATTGCTGGCATTTAGTGATTTTATTCTAGGATACCATGTATTAAAGGAATACCAAAAGCCAATAAATAGTTTAAGGTATTAACCGAGAATGTTATTTCGAATAACAGAGGACTAATTCAGAAGTCAAACAACAAAAATCAGCCTTATATTTTCAAATTTTCACAGTTTTTTGCTGATTTTTGTTGTTTGACTTCTGAATTAGTATTTGTTCGGCGTGTTTTTGTGTCTTAATTAAAAGAGGACTAGTTTGAAACTAACGTCAAAGCAATCCTAACCTTGAGATTCTTTATTAAAAGCCCTTTATTTGTTTTTCATTAATAGTTATGACAAGATGGAATTAAGCATAGTACTTGTTTACACTGAATGACAAACCATGCTGCCTCTATAGACGTCCATAATTGTGAAAGTGTTGACGGTGCAGGGTTTGGGGCACGAACTGACCTCTCGATGATGTCCCATAAATGTTCGATGGGATTCATGTCAGGCGATCTAGGTGGCCAGATCATTCGCTGGAATTGTCCAGAATGTTCTTCTAACCAATCGCGAACAATTGTGGCCCGATGACATGGCGCATTGTCATCCATACAAATCCCATCGTTGTTTGAGTACGTGAAGTCCATGAATGGCTGTAAGTGATCTCCAAGTAGCTGAAGGTATCCATTTCCAGTCAATGATCGGTTCAGTTGCACCAGAGGACCGAGTCCATGCCATGTAAAAACAGCCCAGACCATTATGGAACCACCACCAGCTTGAACAGTGCCTTGTTGACAACTTGGGTCCATGGCTTCGTGGGGTCTGCGCCCCACTCGAACCCTACCATCAGCTCTTACCAACTGAAATCGTGACTCATCTGACCAAGCCACGGTTTTCCATTCGTTTAGGGACCAACCGATATGCTCACGAGCCCACGAGAGTCGCTGCAGGCGATGTCGTGCTGTCAGTAAAGGCACTCGAGTCGGTCTTCTGCTGGCATAGCCCAAGGAAGACAAATTTCGCCGCACTGTCCTGTCGGACATGTCCCTCGTACGTCCCACATTGATTTCTGCGGTTATTTGACGCAGTGTTGCTTGTCTGCGAACATTGACAACTCTACGCAGACGTCGCTGGTCTCGGTCGTTAAGTGCAGGTGGTCGGCCACTGTGCTGTCCATGGTGGGATGTTATGCCTGAAATTAGATACTCTCGGCCAACTCTTGACACTCTTGTGGATCTCGGAATGTTGAATTCCCTAACGATATCCGAAATGGAATGACCCATGCGTCTAGCTCCAACTACCATTCCGCGTTCAAAGTCTGTTAATTCTCGTCGTGCGGCGGCCATAATCACGTCAAAGCCTCTTCACATGAATAACTTGAACACAAATGAAAGCTCTGCCAAAGCACTTCGCATTTATACATTTTCTACGCGATACTACTGCCACCTGTATATTTACATATTGCTATCCCATGACTTTTGTCACTTCAGTGTATTGTGGATTGCTTGCACATGAGGTAGTTTCGTAATATCAGTGAAATACAAATGAAAGACTTCAGAGTCAGAATTTCTTATGTAACATATATTAAAGTTTATTGTTTTAAGGCAAAAAGTGTTATTTTAATAAAATATGTCTTCTTTCAAACAGGGCACTTATGGGGATAAATGTAATAAAAAATGCAAATGCCAGAATGGAGCTACATGTGATCCGGTTACAGGAGAATGCATCTGTCCCTCTGGAGTTCTGGGGAAACCTTGTGAAGATAGTTGTCCTCCTGGTGAGTAACTTAAAATAGTATGAATAAATATCTGCTATTAAGCAGGCTGTATAAACTCTGATACACATGCCTTATTGAAAAAGATTTTTATCTGTATATGTTCCAATGCAAAGAGGTATGGCAGAATTATCAGGTTAATATATATATTTCCAAGAAATATTAATACATAATACATGCATACACAGCTAACAGTCAATCCATGTCTTTGCTTATTTGGAAACAATAAAAGGGTTTTAAAATTTAATATCAATAAAACTGTACCATTTCTTAATCTATTATTGACGTTTATCCACAGAATAAACAAAATTAACGAAAGCAATTAATTTGGACCAATAACAAGTTGACATTTCTGGCAAATTCCATCTTTTCATAGGGTTCCCTCTTTGATTTTTAGAACAATTTTATCCCCTTAGTAATTCAAATTAAAAAATTTTAATGAAAAAAATATGATTAAAGTGTGGTTTCCCTCCAGAAATTACGCCTTATTTTAATGATAAATGCAACAAATAAGTTCTCAGTAACACCGAATGTTTAGGTTGAGTATGACTTCTTGTGAGACACGCAATGGGTGTTTAGGGGTCTAATCTAAAAGCATTGCTAGATTATAACTTTTAATTAATATACGGTGTTCTGTCAGACCCCGTATATTAAGTGTTTGCCTGTGCTGCTAAGGCAGCTTTTAAGCTGACTTTTCGCCCACGTATTCATACATACGTCTAAATTCATACAATAAAACAGTTAATTTATGAGAAACGACTGCGTTCATTTGCATTTCTCTGCACAAAAAAATGCCCACGTCTGCTAATTTTCTCAGTGCACATAAGACATCTTCTAGTAGGATTGAAAGCATAAAAACCCAAAAGATTTGATTAATGGCACCATCTGTATATTTCGTTAAAGGGCTTAAAGCTGTTGGTGTCTGGGAGTACTTGTACGAATAATTCATATATCTGACACGTAGAAACAACACCTGTTGTGTTATTGTTTTGACTCATCTCATTTGTCTGACGATAACATCAGAGCAAATCCACGAAATTCATCGTGGCCGGGAGTGCAAGATTGGATCTGTCGTTGGCAAGAGCCTTGAGAACCATAACAGGTGATAGCACGACTTTGCTTTGCTGCGCCCCCATTTTTGAAGGAGAGCACCTCGGAGTGGATGGGTCTGAGGGTCTCCCACCACAAATTTTACCACCAACCACTCGAGAGGTCTTTCGGCTTGCCGCATATTTAGAGTGCCCCCATACCAGACACTAAACATTTACAAACATCCATGTCTTCTCCGTGATTCAAACCCAGGCGCTTCGGTCCGGCAATCAGCGTCGTTAATCACTATGCGGTTGGGCAGCAGAAACGACACTATTTCCACTGTTAAATAACTTCTATCTCATACAGTATCATTGGCCACTCAAACTAACGCATTACGAAACAGAATCAAAAAGTAACATTAAATCCAAAAATTTGAATCATTTAAAATTTTTAAGATACACCCAACGCATGCTTCCGCTGTCTTACATTGGCGATGTTTATTTGCATAACTATTCCGTAACAAGTCTGTCATTTTTTATGTTCCGGGACGTTTAAAAGTGTATAAACATGAATTCTTCATTTGTTTTTAATATACTATGTTAGTTTTAGAAAGCCAGAAAAACGACTGGTAGAGTTTTGAAAAAAGAAATGCAAACATCGGTGGTTTTGTTGTTCTGTATACACTAGCTTCTGATGGATGCAGATTATTTTAGGATTTTTTTGTACTCAGAATAAAGATCCAAGTTCACTAATTAAGGATATCAGCTCATCCGACTTTTAAAATCATCGAAATGGTCTGAATATCCCTGTAATACAATCGAGTAATAATAAATACTTTGCAAAATGAAAATAAATATATGAAAACTATATAAGGTTATTATTTAAATTAACCAGTTATTTTTAATTTCAACCATTAGTCCGTTTAACCGTAACTTCTCTTTTCCGTTTCTTCCCCAGAATACGAATGAGGTAGCTAGTATTTAAACTGAGGTTTTTCAGAGTATTAAGACAGAGCGTGTTTCTGGCAGCTGGTGCACTCTAAGTTTAGTTCCTGCAAGCTCTAATAATTTTAATTATTCGGCTTTTCATTATATTGTTGCCGACTCTTTGATTTTGACGCTCCAATAGAATTATTGAGTCAGCTTCGAGTGACATTAAATTGTGTAGTCTTTGATTACCGTTCCACGTTTAACCTAAATTTGGCTGTTCTGTTTACTTGCATCACCACGAGCTATGGCTGATAGGTTTGCCAGTGCATTTATATTCTGAATTCTGATTAAATAAAAGTCTTGTTTGAAACCTTCTGACAACTTTTACGTGTTTCAGACATAACAAAAATTTACTTTACGACCCTTCGGGTTGGTTATTAAACTAATTGCCAGTTCCAGATAAAGTAAAACTCCACAACTGTATTTTATTAATTTTCTTTAACTCTTTTCATAGTTTGAAAATGAAAGATTTCAAAAGCAGAACTAAATTTAAGCTTTGTACCGTGCAGTTCATTTTAAGACCTCAGTATTTTCTTTATTCATAAACAACACAACTAACAAACTCCTTTCTTAAATAAAAGGTACTTACGGCGACAAGTGTGAAAAGCGGTGTCCTCAGCGCTGTCCGAGTGGTAAATGCAACAAGATATTTGGCTACTGCGAATGCGAACCAGGCTTATTCGGACCAAAATGCAACTTACCATGCCCTGATCATACTTATGGACCGAACTGCCGAAGCCAGTGCAAATGCTTCAAAGAACACACTCAGAAGTGTAATTCTAAGGTAATTCATTTCACTTATGTGTCATTTCAATACTTAAAATAATTGAGAATTTAAAATTTATTTCTGTAGCATAACAAATACAATGCATTATATATTTATGGTGAGAGTCAAATGATAAATAACATCATGCATAGAATTTAACCCAACGCTAAAAAAAACTGATTTTAAATAGATATATTTATGCGTATGTACATGGAACCTTCGGTTGAAATTTATTCTAGTCCCTCTTTGCGAGGTAAGTTTATGCAGTATAGAAGTCGGGCAGTTTTCAGTAAAATCTATTAATAATGGCCTATATATGACTGGTAAGTGTATATATGAGCTTCTTTCTTTTGGCTTCACTCCTGATTTACTCCATGATAGTATAACTAAACAACAAACATCTAATTAAATGTTAATAATTAAACTCGCAGCGAGTAGATGGAAGAAAACCTCATTTATTCATCTAGGGAAATTTCTTCAATTCGAAAGAGTTTTGCACCTACTACCCATATCTTTCTGAACGCAAGTCTGTCCATTCGTGGGAAATGCAAAGCTAAAGCTAAAATGCCCACTGTCAGCCTACACATTAGCTCATCTCGCAAGGATTTTTAAATGTAAATATGTGTTTCGTAAAAGGACCAGAGCAATTATTTAGTTAAACTTTATTGAGTATTTTTATAGTAAGTCTCCGTTAAATGTTTTCTGCTTCTCTCAACAAATAGAAAACATTTAGCATACGTGAAAATGCTGAAAAGCAGAATGTCAGTGGAAAAGCAGAGCTTTTAGAAAATAACAACGATATTGTCAATAGTCGGGAGTTAAAACTCTTACAAGTAGTGTTAAAAAGATCCTGCTCACTACGATTCTCTGTCGAATCCTTTTAATAATCGATATATTAATATCTAGTTTCATTCAGCAGCTTGCCAAACCTCCGTTGTGATCTTTGATTGTCGTATACTGCTCAGCGTTGCTTTTAGACAATTTCATATTTTTCCAGCTATGTTAATCTCAGGCGAATGAAGGCTTAATTCAGTAGATAAAGCGTTAACTAAATTCGTTGGATAATGTTAGCTTGTTGAGAAATGAAATCTGTGCCGATTGCAGAATTGCTTAATTAAATTATAAGTATCATTGTGTCTTAAATATGGGCGCATCATGCAACTTGTTTTCAAAGTGTGTTTTAACAGCATTATTCCAATTCTCTAAAATCAATTTTCCAATACTGACAGAAGTTACTCTAGATTTTAGCAACTGCCGTTGCGTAATTCCTGTGTACCATACGATGCAGTTAACAGCAATTACGCTCGAGTTATTCAGGTTCTTCTCAAGGAACTTCACAAGGGATTTCTATATTCCTGAAAACAGTAGTAAAAGACATCGGTCCCTTATTCCCATCAAATAAACAAAATTATACACCTTTCCTGCTGCAGTACAAAAATAAACATGATCAAGCTATGGAAAATATATAGCCATAATGGATTCCATCCAGATTTCTTTTCTCTTCAAGCTTTGATTTCCTATAGTACTGTAGCTCTCAGACAAGGCTCAACAAACAGGTGGAAGCAATATAGACACCAGAGCTGTCGCAAGCTACACCTACCAACTGCATCCAGATGTAAATACGATGATAACTTTATAGTTTTTTGTTCCGATAATCAGCTCTGTAGCATATGCAGTTACCTTGCGGAAGTGCTGAAAATTCTGTTCAGTGCATGCATTGATTAATTCAAAAAGTACACTACATTTTAATTTCAAAAATAAGTTATTCTCTCAACAAGGTGAAGTATTTCGCTTTAATCTAAGCCATAACTCAATTCTTATTTTAATTGATTAAACTATGTTAAAATAAAATTCTCTTTAAAAATTATGTTTTTGCTATTAACCTTCTCCGGCACTGCAACTTCCATTATTCTCTAGACAGGAAAATGTGAATGCAAAGTGGGTTTCACAGGCCCTAAATGTGAAACTGCTTGCCCACCTAATCGTTGGGGTGAAACTTGTCAAAATCCTTGCAACTGTCCTTCTGGAACTGTTTGTAATCCTGCAAATGGGGAATGCATGAAGGAATGCCCTCGAGGATGGAATGGAACCAATTGCGATCAAGGTAAGCAGAGCATAATTAATCACATTTTCTAGATTCATATATCTATCGGTAAGTAACATTTCCTTCCCGATTAAATTTTTTAATTTGTTTCATAATTTAAATATAATCAATGATATCCACTCTGAAATTTAGTATGAAATACTTTGTCGGGATCTACAAACTACACACATCTTCAGCAGATGGCTGTAAATAAGAAAAAAGTTTCTTAAAGTTTCTTCTTCAAAAGCACACTACATATGCCGTATACAATTTGCTACATTATGTCGTGTAATGGTGGTGGGCGGCATTTAGAAATCCCGCCCACCATCATTACACGACATATGTAGTAAATATTACAGAGCCTTGCATATTCGGATTACCATACATAATCTTTGTTATTTGCTGAGTTAACCCTTTGCGGCACAGTGTGTCCGGTCTGGACACACCTAAAAATTTCCTTCCGTACGCACAAAAAATATTGAATGAAAAAGGATTTAGAAGTTACTATAGGTTACTCTGAACCTTCTTTATTTATAGTAGATAGCAGCTCAACACAAACCAATCCATATATTTTAGCCATGTTTAGTTTTTTAAGACCCTCATTTTTCAAAGAAATCTTCCAGATTTTTTAGGGTATAAAAGGAATTGTTTGAAAAGAAATTTCTATGTTATTTTTTGGCTGTGTGCTAATCTAATTATTCTGTATTAGTTTTTAAAATTTTACCTTGAAATCTAGCCTAAAATCAAACGGCGAACCCTAGGTGTGCCCAAACCGGGGTCACCGATAATCTAGGACAACTAAGAGTCTGTATTCTTTGTTTCTCCGCATCTCATCGGTCAGTTCATTGACAACAATGCTCGTTTCAGCAGTCTTTTCGAAGCTGTATTCAATCACTGTGCCCTCTTCGGGGCAATAAGTGCTATCTTCACAAAATTTTACTTGTGTACTCCTATAGGCCTAATTAGACTGCCTACTTTTTTTAATCACTGCCTACTTTTTGCCGCACTCCAAAACACAGGGCGCTTTCTCCTGCATGAATGATGCCATTTTGATTAACAGTGCCTCTATCTGAGACTCTTTCATCGTTGCCAGATAAAACTTGTATAATTGTAGTTTAAGAATTAATTTGCTCCTGCTTAATAAATCAGTTACAGAATTTGTACTCTGTTGTTCTTTTTTTTCCATTTCAATATGAAATACCGTGTAGATATGAAAATTTTCTACACAAGTTTTAACGATTATCTGAGTCCCCCAAAAAATAAATTCCTACATATATTTAAGGTTTATCCAGGGCCGAAGCTAGACATTTTGCGGCCCGGTTCAGTATCTATGGGGACGGAATTCTGCTAGAAACGCTTCCCTACGTTCTAAAATTTTTGCTGCCCCAAAATTTTGCTTTCCAGAGATTTCCCTAAATTCTGAAGATTTCGCAATCCCTTAATTTTGTTGCTCGGTGCTTATCTAAATTCTAAAAATTTTGCCTACCCTAAATTCTGCTGCCCAGTGCGGCCGCACTATCTCTGACACTGGTCCTGGGCTGAACTGAATAGCAAATCAGTTATTAAAACAGCACTAATTATAATTTTCCCGTGTATGAATATCATTTGCAAAATATTTTTCTGCATATAGAAAGAAAAAATGTTAATTTCTCTTCGTCAGCGCCTCAACGCTTCGTACCGAGTTAGCTGAAGTCTGTAATCATCGCTAAACGAAATGTCAACATAAAAAGTTGACATGCTTTTTGGTATTCAATTATTAGTATTAAAAAGTAGAAAAAAAACTGTTTAAGCAGTGCTGCGTGAGACATTTTTAAAGCTTCAGTGTGTTGATAGTCATGTGGTGATAAAAGTAAATATTGATTCACCAGGTGGGCATCAGTGCCTAAGTGAAGTTAAGTACCAGTGCTGTTTACGCGTTTTATTATGAAAAAATATCAAATGGGCAAACGTAAAGAATAAAAAAGATTTCTAGGGTGAAAAACGTTGTTGGTGATCCGGAGGTCCAGAGTTTAGATCATTCCGGACATTGGACGTCCGGATTTTGGACTTTGCACTGTATTTAAGTACTGATAAGAATATAAGCTCATAATACTCATTTTCCCCGAAACAGGCATTAAAATGAAAAGACCTCGGAGACAATCAAGTAATGTGAACATATTGTACCTCTAATGCACATATCGAGAACTAGCATAATGTGTACTTTTTCTTTATTTAGCATGCCCTGAAGGATTCTATGGAGCTAATTGCCTGAAAATATGTCTGTGCGGAATGCGGGAATGTGATCCCATTACGGGAACTTGTCTGTGTGACGCAGGAAAAATGGGACCACTGTGCATGCAAAGTAAGAAAAATTGCACTTATCTTATAATTAAAAATATATACTTCTAATCGCATTAATGAATTAATAAATACAAAATTGCAATCTGATGTTTATATTTCAATAGCAAAAATAGAAATAGATTTGTCTTATTAAACCACAACCTCGATTTTCTAAATAAGTGATTATTCGAAATATTAAGACAATAATATATATATACATACATACATATATATATATATATGTGTGTGTATGTTAGTGTTACCATGAAAGGCCGAAATTTGAGAATGTTGATATGTACCAAATACGTCCGTGAAAGACCGAAAATTTGGTTGAATTATCATACATTCAGACTACCATTGATATATGTCGACAAGCACAGATAAACTCTGGTGCGGGCCGAAACGACAAGTCGAGAGAGAAGAAATAAAAAAGTCAAATCCTTTGTTCTGTCGTGATTGAGGTCACTTGGCATTTATTTGTTAGACTCGCGAACACTCTGCTGTTTATCAGTCTTACATAAGGTTTGCTGATGCGAGCAACATTTGCTTAATTTTTAATTTTTTTTTAATTACGTACGCTTATTTCAAGTAAACGAGAAGACAGTTGCTTCTAGTTTTCTCAAAAAAAGTACTCTAAAATACATTCTAACGTGATTTTTACTGAAACTAAGTGCAGTGCTCCTACTAAAATTAAGTGCAGTGCTCCTTTGGATGACAGACGATTTAAAAATTTTGAACATTTTACAAATTAATGACGAAGAGAAGTTCATTATGCCATTAAAGCCAAAAGAAACTAATATACAGTATTACGTTACCAATAATGAATTGATCAGTATACTATCCGAAACTCATATCGAAATTGGTCACGAAAGAAGAACACGTATGCTTAAAATTAAATTCAAAAATATTACACACAAAATTGTAATGTTGTATTTAAATTTACTTAAACAATAACAAATGAAACACAGTGCAAAAAAGGCAATATTGAGAAACCAATGTTCAGTTCGGCGTTAACTCGAGATATCAAGTCCATCTGATAGACCTGCAATCACACACGGACGGCAAGCATAAAGGTATATTTCATGTACCCGGAAACAAGTTACATGTGTAACAAGGAGAATTCCTCGAAATCCTTCGATTTCTTTTCTGTCAGTACTTGGTAATTTAGTACGTAGATCTCTAAGTTCGTAGTTCTTAGATCTAACTTTATTTCATGCATCCTGTCCGACCTCCTTCATTATATTCACTCTACTTTAGTCTTTGAATCTGAACGAAATGTCTTTTTTCTGGGTGAATTATTTCTAATTTTCAAAGCTAAATGAAAAAGAAAAAAATGTGCGTTTTCAGGGAAAGATAGCTAATACTTGTTTCAAATAAAATAAAAAAAAGGGAGACAAGAAACAGCAAGTGTCTTAACTGCGAATTATAGTGGAAGGGGGATCAGGCAATCATGATATTTATTCAGAAGTCAAACAACAAAAATCAGCGTTATATTTTCAAAATTTTCACAGGACTAGTTTCGATGGTTTTACCGAACCACCATCCTCAGCTGCAAAACCGCAAATGAACAAGTTAGGAAATAATGATTAGATAAGATAAGAAAGCCTGGCCAAGAATAAGCAAGTGGAGCCACCTGTTGGTGAAACCAGAACTAAAACATAATTTCTTTAAAGGCCGAAGGCAAAGATGGATTGGAATTAGGATCGTTAACTAGAACAGAAAGATTTTTTTGAATGTTAAATGCCTCTAGAAAATCCAGTTCTCCAATGGAAGATGTTTTTTGAATAATTTTGGCAGCAGAGAAATTGAAAGTGTGATTTTTGGACCAACAATGTTGAGCAACAGAAGACTTCTGTGTTTCCTTTTTTCTAACATATGCCTCATGTTCCTTCACGAGAAATTTTAAGGTTCTCTTATTTTGTCCAATGTAAATTAAACCACACTGGCAAGGAATCCTATAAATACCCCAGAAATTCATATCCGGAATGGTGTCCTTGAGTATGGAACTCGGAATTTTATTGATGGGAGAATAAACAACCCGAAAGTTAAATTTCTGCAAAATATGTGCAACTTTATAGCTAATTGATGGAAAGAAGGGAATGACAAGAGAATTTTTATAATCTCCTAGAACAAGAGTGTGCCTTTTAATATGTTGAGAATTTTTTAACTGCTTGATTAATAATGTTGGGTGAAAAGCCTCTGTCAATAGCTATTGCTTTTGTTGTTTGACTTCTGAATTAATATTTGTTCGGCGTGTTATTGTGTCTTATTTAATGATGATATTTATTACGCATACTACTTCTCTCCCACGTCCTGCAGATGAAAAATGTAATTTAAAGATCATTATAAAAGCTTAATGCCTTAATTTCCTTTTTTAATTGTTTTACGTAGCATTTGATTACCTGAGCTCGCCCTCATTCCACCCATTTAAAATAATCGTGGGTTTGTTGTTGAATCAAAAAGAGTTAATTCATGTGATATAAAAGTTGAAAATAACATCTTTTTTATCGTAAAACAGTTTTGTCAACTCACAATAAACCATAAGGAGACTCAATCAGGTAAGTAATTTTTATGGTGTTAATTTCTGCATTTATTTATATGTTTACTTTTAATATTGTTATTTGTATTCATTTATTATCCTTCACGTTTACGATGAATTGATCACAAAGTCGGTTACTAGCAAGAATCTAGTAAACAAACACCTTCTGGTGTTAATGAATTCAGTTGTGTTTTAGCTTTCTTTAAAAAATTCCATATTTTAGGTTGCCCTAAAGGAAAATACGGTAAAAGTTGTCTAAAGACTTGCACTTGTGAAAATGGAGGAATATGCAATCCGAAAAATGGAAAATGTACTTGCCCTACTGGTTTTATTGGAAAATCATGTGAAAAAAGTAGGTTGAGTATTTTGCTTGCATGGAATCAAAATATTGTTTACAAATAAAGAAAGAGTTACAGAGTTATTTATATTTATTTCTGTCTCCTATTAAATTCCATTCCATTCATTACGTGAGTTGTTATTAATGAATTAATTGAATTATTAATAGTGACACCATTACAGTTATTTTTTAAATATATTATTTTTTCTAATTTGGTGATTTTTAGAAGAACGTTGAAAATCTGATTGTAAAGTAGTTAATTGCCTAGGAATTAGATTTCAGAGTAAACTGTTCGGAGAATTTGTAAAGTCCACTATGTTTAAGTACAAAGAAAGATACGGCTTCCTTAACTCAATGAAAGAGCATTCGTTTACGGGCCAAGAGATTTGAATTCATTTCGAAGTAAAAACTAATCTTTGTGAATATTTAGTAGTTCTTTTGAAGTGATAATAAATAGTGATAATAAATATGCTATGCATATTTGATAATAAATAGTGATAATAAATATGCTATGCATAGTGATAATAAATATTGCCCTACTGGTTATATTTATTATCACTATTTATTATCACTTCAAAAGTGATAGTACAGTACAGTGATAGTGACAGTAGTGATAATAAATATGCTATGCATCCAGTGTTTCAGAATGCTATATTATTATTTATACTAATGCCATTATAGTGGAAAATCTCTGGGACGAACTTCAAGGGACCGAAAGTTTAGTTTGCTGTATCCTGTCCCATAAGGAAAATGGATTATCTCACAAAAAACTAAAGAAGATTCACTAATGAATTAAAAAAAAAATAAGAAAAAAGAAAGAATGGGAAGGAAAGAAAAAGATTAGCAATGTCACATCTACTAGAAGAATTAATCTAATTTTTTAAAAATGTATTTTTAGTAATTATTAATTACCCTCAGTTTTTTAATATGTTGTTCTTTATTTTCAAAACTCATTGTAATTTATAAATTTATGCGATAGATTCCTGTCTCCTTAAATTATCATGGTTAGGACCTTTCCTTTGAATTACTCTTTCCCAAATGCGCATTTATAATTATAAATAATTATTTTATCCATTATGTAAAAACACTAAAAATGTATAACGAAAACAAATGACGGGTTTACGAACGAATATTTTTGACCAGACTCTAAAAAGACTCCACTACTTTCGGTTCTTCATATTTTGCATGTATGTTAAAAAAAAAAAAAGAAAATTTATTAATGTCGCGCGTCGTTGCTTTGGCATCCGTAGTGGTAGGACGTCCACTTTCTGTGGGTTGCACCTTTTCAGCATTTTCATAAGCATCAAGAGAAGAATCTTCGATATCAGTATTTCTCATTTTAATTTCTGTCACAATCTTCATCACTTGCATTTTGATATGTAACGTTATCATAATCACATACTTGGAAACGTTTCATGTCACATTCTCAATATTTAAGTGCCTTTTTTTCCTAGCGGCTTAGTGTTAGGCAAAACCACATTTTTGTCATCTCCTTCTTTAACACTCTTTTTTAGATCAGCATACCGAAAACAATTTCGGATGTCTGATTCTGTAACAAGTCCCTAAGACACTAGCATTCAGCATTGTATCACAAGTGAAACATTATAATCTACTTGCTTTCCGACTACTCCAAACTGATTAAAACGACAGCTTTCCTTTAGAAATTCTGACGTGCCTAAGTCCATATAAGCTACAACATCGAAGCTGCATTCTAGAGCTGGAAAATAATCTTAATCTATTCTTATCTTTCGACATATATGCGTGCAGTATATCAGTCAAGAGTAGAATCTTCCGCTTTTTGGCCGAACTTTCTTCATCCCACTTCCGTAATACTTCTTCAGTCAGTCCTGTTGACATCCATACCCTACAGTTAGTTTTATTGGAAATAATTTTCACAATTTTTAAGCATTTTGGCTTTGGAGATTTTCCAATCATCAAAAGCCTGTGACACTCGGTGCCAATCGTATTGCCAAGAATTATGATTCAACCCTTCGAAAATTTTCCGTCAGTGCTCCTTCTGTCATTAAATTATTAGTTTGATTTCGCATCCTCTTGTAAAACAGCCCAACTTAATCTTATGTTGAAAATGTCTTTTTCTTAATCCTGAAAACGTGTATTATTCCAAACAGTTTTTTTTCCCATTTCTCGATATCTAGTTCTTAAATGCTATCTGATTCTTCCCCCATTTTTCTTGAAGAAAAAAATATTCTTTCCCTTCTAAAACCCTAACCAACCAACTACTTCGGCATAAGAAAAGAAAGTATCTCCAAAGTGTCTGGCAAATTTAATGGTCTGAAGCAATCGGCCTATATGGGCAGACTGCGGCTTCTTTTAATGGTGAACCATTTCAAAAATGTTTTTTCGACATCCTTATGGCCAGACTTTCTCAACGTTTTCCTAGTATCCATTTTTTTTCCCATGAGCAGAAATTGCCAACTATAAATTTCGATAAATTCTGTTGTGGGCAGATATCGATTTGGCTTCGTCCATTCCCCTTTTTTTTTTTTTTTTTTTTTTTTTTTTTTTTTGTTGTTGTTGTTGTAGTTTTTTCCCGAGCAATGTTTCCCTTGTCTTCAATACTGAATATTTTGGTTTTACTGCTAGCTAAATGTATGAATTTTTGACATGGAAAAATTTCACCAGTACAGACTGCAGAGAAATAGATCGAAGAATATGTAAAATTCTGCTCTTCTGGAAAAGATGAAAAAGGAAGATAATGTCTTCGTTAGTCTGGCTTATTCAATATCCATTGAGAACGCATTCATTTATTTCTAAAGTATTATGGCTGCATAGAAAGGATTTAATAGCCTTTATGAAGAATATTCTAAACCTTGCAAAATATCTAAAAATTACGAAATCTCCCATTCAAGTGTCAGAATTTGGAGAGCATTTGTATTCAAATAAAACAAACTAAAAAATATAAAAATTTGCATTTTCTAAACTATGAGCCTCCTGTATAGCTCATAAGACGCTACTTCCTCTTCCTTGAATAACAGAAATTTCAAATTTCCATCATAGCATCAGCCTTCAACAGAATTCTGTCTGACCTCATAATCAAACATCTTAAAAGGAATCAGAAAATTCTTTCAAGTTCTTTAGCTCAATGGTCATGTGCACCATATGATGTCCTAAGATATGTTTATTCTGCGCCCTCGTTTAGCAAAAATTGGGTGTTACACTTGTCTCGCTAGATCCTTTTTAGAACACAGAGAAAGGTGGGGTGAAGATGAAAGAACAGTAACATAAAGGTGTTTTCCTATCTCTACACATGGATGGATCTTAACATCCCAAATACAGATGATTTTAAAGGTTAGTTTGTAAGGTTTCTATTATTCAAATTAACCAGTTATTATGGTTTAGATCTTTAGTATAACTTCTCCTTTCCGTTTTCCTCACCAGAATGCAAATGAGTTAGCTAGTATTTAAACTGGGGTTTGGGGATTTTTAAGAGAGAGCGTGTTTTTGGCTATGCATGGACTCTACGTTTAGTTCTTGCCAGCTAATTGTAAATATTCAGCTTTGCATTACTGTAGCTACCGACATCTTAATTTTTGACGTTTCGGTTAGAATTATTGAGGCAGTTTCGAATATATTTTAATTGTATAGTCTTTGATTACTTACTAGTCCACATTTTAAATAGAATTTCACTGTTCTGTTCATTTACGTCACCAAAAGCTGTGGCTGATATCATTCAAGATAGTGCATTTATGTTCTAAATTCTATTTGAACAAAAATTTAAAAACTTTCTATGGCTTTGTAATTACTTTACACAGAGGTCATTTGCTTCACGTCTGTTAAAAGTTTTTGGACTCATTATCAGTTCCAGATCAAGTAAAACCCCGTGTTGTTTCATTAAAACTTGCAGAAATGTAATTACTTTACGCAGAGATAATTCGCTTCACGTCTGTTAAAGGTTTGGGGACTCATTATCAGTTCCAGATCAAGTAAAACCCCGTGTTGTTTCATTAAAACTTGCAGAAATTCTGAAAAATTAAAAATTTAAAAAAAAAAATGCTTCAACCGAAGGTATTTCTATGTTCGTTATATCCGTTTTGTATACCTCTGGAGGTTCGAGTAGCCGTATGAAATAACATTTAAGTATATAGAAAATTGGACGGGACGGAAATGTTCGTTCGTTATATCCGGGTTTTTATAAGCAGGATTCACTCTATCAGGGTTTGATTGTACTATTAGTATGTATAACAGCATAAAAGCTACCGATTAAGCAAATACGCAAAAATTAGACTAAGATAGTAATTACTAAGAAGCTACACACGATAGACTTCTTAATGACAGCTTTTATGGTGATATGCATGAAATAACAACGCAAAGCATTACAGGGAAGACTTTTCCCCCGTCGGAAGCAGATATTTTATAGTGCGTCTAATCCATATTATTAAGCTTTGTAACACGTTGCTCACTAGGACATGCATTAACAAAACTATATTTAAAACCGAAATAAATGTATGATTATTTTTTTAATTAAGAGTAAAATTTTGCACAGAAATTGGCAAGAATATAAATATAAAACTAATTAAAAATACGCGGCTTATATGAAAACGAACGACATTAAAGATTATAAATAATCAAAATAAATCTTATAAGAAGAAATAAAATGAATAGATAAAAATGTATAGGCACTTGTTAGCTAAATAAACACTCAGCCGACCAGAAATGGCTTATAGGCATAGCCGTATCATATAACATGTACAATATTATTGTGCTGAAAATGGATAGCCACACAAGGCAACAAAAATTATCTTACCACAGTTGGTAATTATTGTTCACAGTATCTAAGCTTAATAACCATTGCATTGTTTAAACCATTAACATGGCACATAAAATATTATTACTATTTCAGAGCGACAGAGAATATTCTGAAATTTGTAATAATAGATACAGTCCACAGTATTTAACAAATAGTAATATATGGCTTCTGTGAAAGAGTATTTGTGTGTAAGCATAGAGATCAATTTGATATCTCGTAGTAAAAATAAATCTTATGATCAAAAGTTCTTTTGAAGATAGCTATGTCGCAAAGTTTTCGGAATACGTAATACTATTAGTATAATGGGTATAAAAACCACAAACCAAACTAACTGTTGATGACAATTTCTATAAAGGTCAAGTGAATGAAAACGGGCATAAAATAGCATTCGCATTATTCTCAGAAGACTTCAATTTATTATCGGGTAGAAGGGTAAACTGACGGTTTGAACATCTCTGGAATGTATAAGGTCTTATGTGGTCGAAGACACCATTCATTCCCTTTCCCCCCCCATTCAAAAAATTGTCTTTTAAGATGTATTATGACATTTAAAAACTTTTCATGTCTCCCGTGAACTGAATCCGAATTTTTTAATTATATAAACCCTGCGAGGCGAGAACATAGCCGTTTATATATTAATGAAATCTCTACACTTTCACGTGGACATTCTGAAGCAGCACAGTTTGCAGCTATTTTAATACTATAAATACCTCTTAGACTAAGCAAGCCTGTTTTGGGGGTATATTTTTGTTACAGACAACAGTTGTTTTTTTTATTACGCCAATTATTTTAAATGATGATAACTTAAAATCTCTCCATAAGAAGCCTCCAGATTTTCGACGCAGTTCTGGAATACATAAAATGTGTATATTATGACTGCTGCAAAAGATCACTGAAAGATAATCGCATATCAAGATGATCAGTAAATGTGCAATAACTAGATATTACTAAGGAATATTACCTCCTGAAGAGTTTGGAAGTCAACAAAAAAGGACCTCAGAAATTGAATATTGAATACGAAAACAGCTGCATTATATTTATTTATATATATATTTTGTTTTTGTTTCAGAGAGGAAAATAAGCTTGTTTCTTATTCACAATTTTTCATTTTCTGATTATTATAGTCATAATGGCAAGTATTTCATTTACGCGGTATATCATTAATTACAGAATTGAAAAAAAAGCAATTGGAAAAGAAATATGTATTTTAAAACATGATTACAGATGATGCTGAAAACGGTATAATCTACCTAGTAATAGTACATTGAGCAAAATATATGTATAGTATGTATATAGTATGTATACCTTACTAGTTAACGGACAAAATATATGTATATATACAGATTACTAGTTAATGGGCAAAATTATATGTGTGTAATATAAATTGCTAGGTAATAGGCAAAATTCAGTAGTATATGTATATAGAGATTACTAGCCAAATTGTGATTGCGTACAGGACTAATTAAAATAAAACTTTAGCATTTTAGAAAACTGTTGATAAATTAATAATCAATAGAGTTTGTTTCTCCATGAAAAATCGACAGTATAAAGTAAATGTTTTATGTAGGGAAGTAGTGAAATCTAGTGAATTTGTTAGGAGTTAAAAATCAATTGTTACTTTTAACGGTTTTCTTGTGTTAGTCACTTGATATAATCATCCAATTTGCAATTTTGAAAGGAAATCTCTCGATCCTCTTGCAGTTTTGAGGATTTCAAAACGAAAAAAAGTAATGGAATCTAACTCCTTCAAATGTTAACTCTGGCCTTAGGAAAACAGTCGGGCAACTTATCGCCTTATCGTAATTTTCTAGCGAAGCAGCACTGAACATAGAACGTATAAAATAAACCTTTCAATTAGCTCCTCAACCTAAAAATTTACATAACCTAGTTAACAACCCGCACAGTCTCTGCTACTTGGCGAGACTGACAGAAACAAAGTGAAATTCAAGTATTTAAAATATGAAATTTATAAAACAAAGTGTGCCAAAAGTTTTGCTCAGACCCTCAACTCATGTGAACGAATACGGCCAGCAAGTGTACAGCCGAACATATAGAAGCGGAGTGAAAATAGTATCGAAACGATTAGCGAAAGCTGCCAAAAGCTCTCTTTCAAACTCAAAAGCTGTGTCCTTAAATGCATTAGCTAATTTGCATCCTGGTGGGAGTCAACGAAAGGCAAAAGTAATGTGATAACTGTTTAGTAAACATAAAACGCTTCAGCATAAACACGTTAAGTAAACGTAAGCTTCATTCTGTAAACTATACTTTCCACATCGTTATTGAATTAATTTAAAAAAGAAATAAACTGATAACCGGTATAGTCCATTATAATCTGGATGTTTTACGGCTTTTGCCGTTGCCAAAAGTCATATACCTTAATTTAGGATGAGGTGAATATTTATAAATTTTAGGATATAAAACCCGAATATTTAATGGTGTTTTTATAGATTCATGAGTTAACTACGTAAACTGCTCCTTTCAGACGCAATTATTAATTTTTAAAATTTCATAAAGACATTATTTCACCAATACTACATCAATTTGTTTTAGCGCTGAGATAATTCTGTGAATATTTTCTACAAGATTAATGTTGAATGTATCTCAATATAATAAATATTATTGGATTCAATAATTAATAACACTGGATTTTTGAAATTTGATCTTTATCATCATAAAGTTGCCAATTTATCTCTCTATTTAAAAGTAGGCATTATAATCCAACATACTTATCATAGCTAAAAGCAAAATATTGAGCAAACTCCTTCTGCTTCACATAAATAAAAAACATACACAGATGTTAGAAATATTTCGAATTTTACTCTCATATAAACTCAAAGACATTATCTTTTATGAATGAAATCTCTGTTCTTTGATCTTAAAAGAAAGAAACCGGTTTACTTATCAAAAGATGGAAAAGTAATATTCTGGAAGTTTTATCTAGTTGTAATCAAAGATCTCTGTTTCAGCACATAAAATGTGTAGAATATAAAAATTAGATAATATAAATTATTTTTATTACGTTACGCGTTATTACGTTTACGCGTAATGTTATCTGTAAGTAAGTATTCTCATTAATGGTCTATCACCATACTAAAGTATATATTATGCTATTTATTTGTATGTATTGTGCAATTCCATGTTGTTTAAATAAATCACACTACTAAATAAAATTTTTCATCCATGAGGTTTCTTATTTGTACTCAAATAAGGAACTCTAGAAATCTGTTATTCTCGCAGAACACTTTGCTTTTTAAATTGCATTACTGTAATTTTGTTGCAGAATGTCCCCCTGATAAGTACGGAGCGGACTGCCAGGGCCAATGTCACTGTAAAAATGGCGCCACTTGTGATCGAGTGAATGGTAGATGCCATTGTTCTTCAGGATGGACGGGAATACACTGTGACCAGCGTAAGATTTTAAGATTTTTTTTTCTTAGTTATTAAAACATTCGAAATCGCATAGAATTAAGGAAACATGGAACAAAACTAGAAAAGATTTTTAAAAAATTTAATCTCGGTTACTTAAGCAATATGATATTATATGAATTATTCAAAATTGTGTTTAAATTATAAGCTAAGTCTCCTTAAAATATAATAAACCTGAATATTCAGTGCGTGTATAATGTTGTTATATAATAACTGATAATACTGAAGTGCAATGAAGAGTGCTGTTGTAAATGAATGGCACAAGTGATAAAATGAACAGTAGTATACGTTGAGTACTCAAGCTTCAATATGTATTGTAATTTTATGGCTACTTAATAATCAGTTTATTTAAATCTCCCAAAGCTTGCAGTCCTGGAAGTTATGGTCCCAACTGCCAGCATCATTGCGAATGTGCAAATGGAGGAGAGTGTGACAAATACACCGGAGAATGTATTTGTCAGCCAGGATGGACTGGGAAGGAATGTGATAAGCGTAAGTACTTCTCTATAACAAAATATCACATTACTCGTCTGTTAGCTTGCTGTTTATGTATTAAATACCAATAGTTTATTTTCTTACAAAATATGTGGACTACAAGCGGCCGAACTATTTATAAATTCTGAGATAATGTAAAAGTATTACCTTTATAATATTATGCGTTAATGTCATATATGGAATGTAAAAATTAGATATGTGTTAAAAAGAAACACTATTGGAAGGTTCTTTTTGACATAGCAGTCCTTCGAAACTAGTCTAGGAAAAGTATTCTTGATAATATCGGATACGCTGAACATTGGTAAAATTGTTGAATACTGGTAGTTCGGTTCAGTGTTCAATCCCAGTGAAAAGGCTGGCTGCATGGGCATTTTCGTAGTTTTCTCCATGTGGTAACGTGCCTGCTAGCCATTTTCCCTTAGAAATCGCTCCCTTTAGGCAGATAGTCCTTGAGTCGTTTGCCATAATCAAATAAACTAAACAAAATATGTGTCTGTTCATATTTTGTATCACCTAATTGCTGTCATTACTGTTATTAATTCGAAAAAACTACCTTCTAGGGTCTAATCCCTCATTTAATTTAAAACAATGGAAATCTATATAATGGCTTTAAATCTGGTTCTTTATTTGTAATGCCATTTGTAATGCCATTACAAATAACTTCTTTCTAAACATTTCAGTGCTAAGAGTTATTTCGTAGCAATGAAAAAAGGATTCTTTTCGAAAGCACTATGTTCTCTTTTTATAAATCACGTTTAAGTGTATAATAGTTAAGTTTAGCCTATACTTTCATATCAGTTTGAGGTAAGTCCAGTCAATCACATTTAAGCATATAGTACTTAAGTTTAGCGTATACTTTCATATAAGTTTCAGGTAGTCATATAGTTAGTAAGTAGTCCATATAGGTTCAGGTAGTCCATATAGGTTCATGTAGTCCATATAGGTAGTTTCATATAAGTTTCATATAAGTCCAGTCAATCACGTTTAAGCGTATACTTAAGTTTAGCCTATACCTTCATAAAAGTTTCAGGTACGTCCAGCAAACAGTTTTGTTTCCCTACTTTAATTTTACTATATCGCCTAACATTCTTTTATTAACGATGCATTTTAACTTAATTACTTCATAATGTACATATTCATTCTTTAGATTAACAAGATTTTATTTAAAATTTATCACTGTTTAGATTTTATATTATCAAGAATGCATTTCCTAGAATAATTTGCAAATGCTGCTATGTCAAAGCGAACCCACGAGGTAGTGTTTCTTTTTAACACATATCTATTTTTTACATTCCATACATGACATTAACGCATAATATTAAAAAAATGATACTTTTACATTATTTCAGAATTTATAAGTAGCTGCTGCTTTATAATCAGTAATAGTTTTCTCGGGATTGGAAGCAGAATCTCTCAAAGAATGCCAACACTGTGGTTATTAAATTATGTCTCTGAAATTGATTCTTATTTTTAATCAATGTTCTTTGTTTCACATATATTTATTAGTTGCTGTCTTCTCTGACATTATTTTAGCTTGTCCTGAAGGGAAATATGGCTGGAACTGCGAACAAGACTGTCCATGTAAAAATGGAGCAACTTGTGACCACATTAGAGGGGCGTGTATCTGCGGTCCTGGTTGGTCAGGCACTTATTGTGATAAACCCTGTCCTCCAGGCTTTTATGGTATCGAATGCAAGAACACTTGCGACTGCGGCAATGGGATATCTTGCCATCCTGAAACTGGAATATGTCATTGCGAAAAAGGAAAGTATGGCAATGGATGTCTCAAAAGTAAGTATGAATAAAAGTTTCAAATTTTAGTTTTCGTCAGAATTTTTAAACATCTTGCACATGTAAAAGAAAAAATCCAGCTCCCAGATGAAATGCAAACGCAGTGCGTTTACGCCACGACTGGAAAGAATATAGATAAATTTTTTATAAATAGTTTTTAAATAAGCTACAAATTAAAATAAAAAGTTTACAACCTTCGTTTAGGGAAAAGCTTAATAATGGGATTAAACGCTATAAAGAGGAATTCTGTTCTAAGAACAGTCCCCTCATTCGGTTTTTCAAAAACAAATATACAATAACTATTCGGCTAATCAGATTTAAAACAAATATTATTTAAAATTTTTATTTAGTTGAAAATCTCAGAAATATGCAATATTTACATAATTCAGTATTTTATGATGCAGCCAAATTTAACGATTGATATTTTTGTGAGCTTATCTCGATCTTGCACTTACATATATAAAGAATATGTTTATTGAAAATCTCAGAAATATGCAGTATTTACATAATTCAGTATTTTATGATGCAGCCAAATTTAACGATTGATATTTTTGTGAGCTTATCTCGATCTTGCACTTACATATATAAAGAATATGTTTATTGAAAATCTCAGAAATATGCAGTATTTACATAATTCAGTATTTTATGATGCAGCCAAATTTGTGAGCTTATCTCGATCTTGCACTTACATATATAAAGAATATGTTTATTGAAAATCTCAGAAATATGCAGTATTTACATAATTCAGTATTTTATGATGCAGCCAAATTTAACGATTGATATTTTTGTGAGCTTATCTCGATCTTGCACTTACATATATAAAGAATATGTTTATTGAAAATCTCAGAAATATGCAGTATTTACATAATTCAGTATTTTATGATGCAGCCAAATTTAACGATTGATATTTTTGTGAGCTTATCTCGATCTTGCACTTACATATATAAAGAATATTTTTAAAAACAATGCCTAATTTTAACAGGCTGTTTTAATTTACAAACTGTGTTTTATCGTTTAATAATTTTGAGGTACAGACACTGAAACTTTATCTCGAGAAAAGGAATGTATTCTCTTCCTCTGCAAGAGGTTATTTTAATTTACTTAAAAAAACAGAGGGAGAAAAAAGAGAAAAAAACTGCAACGAGCACTCTCTTAATTAAAAATAAGTCTGAATGCAATTAATACTTTAACTAATACTATGAAAAGCTTACTCTAAATTACAAGAAGAACAAATTTCTTGTTATAGAGTTGTTAGAGTGTGAGGATATAAAGTACTATATCTAAGCTTTCTCATTAGCTTTCAATGTCTCGCTTGCCATTTGAAACACTCTTTGCTTCTCAGCTTGCTCTCCTGGTTTTTATGGAAATTTCTGTAAAGAACAGTGCCAGTGCCAGAATGGTGTTTGCGATCCTGACGACGGCAAGTGTATCTGTCATCCGGGTTGGCATGGCAAACAGTGCCATCTGGGTGAGTGGTGAAGTATTCCTGAATGCCTTTTGAAAGAACCGCATGCTGTATTAATACTTCCTTCTCTGAAAACCATCCTTCCTTTGCTACCGAACTCGCTTGCTTTTGAAAGTGTGATAGTTGAAGTCTGTTAAATTAGTTATAGTTAATTCTAATATTGTCTTTGTAAAGTCTATGTCGCTTTGGAAACATAAACTTTTAAAAAGGTCTGTTGAAGAATTATCTTCTAGCCTTGTGAAACAAACATAAATTGGAAGGAGGGTATATAAGACCTTTTTATTCAAGCATCCAAATTAACAAATGACCCAACTTGGGTTACAGGAAGCCAGCACTTCTGGCTTAACAGAAATACGTAACGAAAGATAATTTCAAGGTATGGTACTTTAGCCTAATGCCTTACAGAATGCTTTAACGCGCAGGAAGAGCTCTGGTTTATAATAAACCGGCGAGACAGGCTAAATGGCTAGAACACTCAACGCGGCTAACACAAGTCGCAGCGTTGAGTAGAAAAAAAATCGCAGCACAGCGTGGCCTGGAATAGGCAAACACGCTCTAAAAATAACTTCCGAAAATCTTGCTTAAATAGGCACTTCATACTACTTTAATCTGAATAAACTCTTCGTGTATGCATCGCTGTCCGCGGTGGTCCTACATCCTACTGAGCTGACGCCGTTCTCGCTCTGTATTCTGACTATCATTTTGAAATAAAGATCACTTATTGCTGCTTGCTGTCTCTGTCTTTTTTCCAAATTTCATCCCTTTTTGACCACTTTTTCTTGGTGTTGCATTTATAAATTATCAGAGAAGGATAAATAGAACATATTTACCTACCATTTTAATATCAGCCTACAGTATTGGGTTTTTTAACTGAAATCTGGATTTTCCTTATTAAGATTTTCCTGTACGAAATGAATCTGCATGGTCTCTTATAGCAACAAATGCCAAATTTTTCTGAACTGTAAAACCAAAACGCATACAAAATAAAATAAAATATCGCATAATTTTAATAGAAAAATCCCAAAGAATAAACGCTGGAAAATTTCAAATTAAATGGTGAAATTAATTCGACGTAACATTGAGAACTCGAATGTAACAAAAAAATGTTAAGTAAAATTACATAGCGTTTATGATTATACTTTTCAGACATGCAATATTCTGCAAGCAAGTTCAACGTCAGTCTCTTCATTAAGTCTGAATGCTCGCCAGCGGCAAGCAGTATAATCGTCGAATGCTATTAGTTTGACCTGGCTTCAAAGAACGGTGAACGGACTGTGTGCGACGGCATTTTCTTGGTTTCACCCATATGAAATGAGAATGCGAGTCAGTTTCCTTAGAAAGTCCTCCGCGAAGACATAATTTTCCTTTGCCACATAAACAAACAAACATAACAAACAAAGACATAACAAAGTGTCAGTCTCTTCATTAAGTCTGAATGCTCGCCAGCGGCAAGCAGTATAATCGTCGAATGCTATTAGTTTGACCTGGCTTCAAAGAACGGTGAACGGACTGTGTGCGACGGCGTTTTCTTGGTTTCACCCATATGAAATGAGAATGCGAGTCAGTTTCCTTAGAAAGTCCTCCGCGAAGACATAATTTTCCTTTGCCACATAGCGCTCGTGAGCTTTTCCGTAATCCAATTATAATTCCGAACATGGGTTAGTGTAGTGTTATGCGCAAAGAAATATCCGCTCAATGTCGGAGCTAGAATTTTCAGTGTCAGGGGACAACTGAATCCCCCTCATGTTCGCCAAGAATGGAAAACATTTAGTTCTAAAATTTCGTTTCGTTTCAGTTTGCCGCCCGCTGGATGCTTATTTCTCCTTGCCTCCCTTTTGCTACGGATACAGGATACAGAATTTAAAGAGATTTTGCCCCTAGTGCGATTATTGGTGCAAAAATTGTCATTGCAAAATTAAAATTTACATTTATAAATAACCTTTCAGAAAAATTGTCTTATAGTTTATTGTGGTCAGATGCACAGTATGACATTTTTATACGTCGAAACTAAAGCTTCTAATAGAATTGACAACTATGAGAAAAATAACGAATATTATACTTACATGTCTAGTTAAGTTAGGTTATTTGAGTATGGTAAAGCATGCGAAGACTATCTGACGAAAAGTAGGAACGCCTTTATGGAGGACTTTCTAAGGAAAATTGGCTCATATTCACGTTACACATAGAAAAATCATGAAAATAAACCATGTAGCCTACCAGTTGCCTGGGATCGAACGAAAGTCAAGCTCCCAGTAGTCAGCGGTTAGACATGTGAGATGAAATCTTTAATGATCAATCTTTTCGGTGTTCTCTAAATGTTTATACTGCGAGAACAAAGTGTCTTATTAAGTGGCTTATTACTGAACAATAGGACACTGAGTAACTGAGAAAGTTTGCTTGAAAAGTTAACTAGCAGGTGGGCACTGTAAGCCATTGGGCATCTGTCTTCTAAAAGTATCAATTACTAGTTGTTAAAGATCCTCACAGGTTTGATCTAGAGTCAGGGAAAACAAAATCCTACGCCACCAAACACGGTAATGGGCCTACATCCGATAGTGAAATGCCTTTGTCTGCCGTTTATGAATGCTCAAAATTGTTCTGCCTAAACTCTGATGACAAGGCTTTCTCTTATAAGGCCGATGAGCAATGGTAAACCCAGAACTAGAAGGTAATTTCTCAACACAAAATTTTGAAGTCTAACTATTTGCGTCATCTTTATGTGCTATACTAGCATTGTGTTGCTGTTTACGGTACGTTCATAAACTTGTGACTTAATATCTTCCGTAGGTGTTGACGATCTTTTTTTTTTTTTTTTTTTTTTTTTTTTTTTTTTAGTGGACTGAGACTCTTCATTCAAATTGGTGCTCGACTAAACATCTTGCAGCCATATATGTTGAAACTTAATCCTTTAATTGTTAAAAATATGCCGTACTATTTTTTAACAATAAACTGCCATGGCATGATCCAATAATGCTCATCAGTTTTCAGAATTTTACTATCTACGAATTTTTCTTCTAGTATATAAATTTTAAACTTTTGTTTAATTAAATCTTAAACAGCATTACAGCATGATTTTAAATTTATATTTTATTGTTTCTTTTGGAATTTCATTTTTTACTTTTAAATTATATGTATTGATTTTAAATTATATGTATGATAAAATTACATCTTTTTAATTTGTAATTTTTAAATTGTCTCTTTCAATGTTTTCCTGATTTTTAGAATCATTTATCTTACCTTATTTAGTTAAAGAAGTTTCATATAAATACGAAGGAAAAATTTATTTTTAAAATCTCTATTGGACTTTGCGAAAAAACAAGGACATTTAACACAACTGTTTAATTCAATGAATGCTACATATTTTCGTTATACATAATGCTACATATTGCCATTCCGTACTTAAAAAATATTATTAATTTCTTTCGAAGATTTTCAGACTTTCATATTTATATTTTAAATTCTATTTGTTTTTCAGCTTGCCCGAAAGGATCTTATGGATACAAATGCGAAGGAGTTTGCCTTTGCAAGAACGATGCTATTTGTGAACCCAAAGATGGGCGTTGTAAATGCAAGCCTGGATACAGAGGACGATACTGTGACCAGGGTATTTATAGTTTATAAATTAAATCATGCACTTCAGAAGAATATCTGACAAAATTATATTATTTTAAATTGAAAGCAAGTATGAAAATTTAAAACTGATTATATTACTGAGTTGACTTAAAGCATAAATGCTCCTGTTATTGACAATCATTTTAACTATTTTTTATTTATTTACTAAGCCCCTGAATATTTTTTTCTCTGATGGTACTGAACTTTATTAAACTACACAGAAAAACTTTTTTTAATTACACGAGGAATATTACTAAAATTTAAAAGTAATTAAGGAGAAAAACTGAAAAATAATATTTTAACGGAACAAATTTTAGTGTTCATTTTGAAACATACTCTAAGAAAATTTGCTTATGAAGTAACATGTGAACACATTCAAATAAAGATCAGCTATTCGAAAACGTTAGTTGTCATTCAAGGAAAAAGTTTCTAAAAACGCTCGTTTTGGCAAACATTTTATAGTATAAATGATTGTGATGATCATCATCAACATCGACATGATCGCATAATATAACATTTCCAAAATCTTCCGTACAATTATATTTGAATACAGTGAACGACACTGTTGAATCTCTCTCGAGCTGTGATCTAATCCTTCAGTAATATTGAATTGATTATGCAGTTTTAAGAACTCAAAAGTGTAGCTTAATCGAGGTTTTCTTATTTCTTTTCAGCATAAAAAATTTATTAATGGCTTTTTATAGAAAATATTTTGTCTAAAGCTGGGACTTTTGAGGAATATTCAGAAAATTTTTATACAACACTAAAAACTGCGACAATTTATATGTAATAAGAAGAAAAATTAGAAATAAATTAAGTAGTAGTGGAATTGAAGTAGAAATTACATAACTTTCCATTGATTTTAGATTCTATCTTCGCTTCTTTTATAAAAATTCATTTAACCCTTTTTTTTTACTTTTCATATGTTATAGTTTGTTTCCTTGGACATTACGGGGAGAACTGTTCGAAAATGTGCTTATGCACGAAAGGAGAGCCTTGTCATCATATAACTGGAGAGTGTCGCTGCCCGCCCGGTACTACGGGGAAAGGATGCGAATTCAGTAGGTGTATGCTTTTTATTTAAGCAAAGCCTATAGAAAAATTTTCTCATTCAGTTAGTGTCAGACGAGTACGAAAAATAACCATTCGTATATATTTGTTAATGTTAGTAATAATATTAGTGCCGATGGTTTTCTAAAATATTTTAATTGGCATCTGTGCAAAACATATTATTTAATCCAGAGCTTTGATTTACTTATAGAATGCCCTGAAGGTAAATTTGGACCTGACTGCAAAGAAACATGTGATTGCCATCAAAACCAACTATGTGATCCAGTTAATGGACAGTGTTTCTGCAGATCAGGATTCACAGGTCCAGACTGCTCTCAGAGTAAGTTATAATTTAATCGGCATTTCAAAATTCAGTCATTTAAATGATTAACATCAAATGTTTAAATTGTATGGATCTTAAATTTTACTAACGTTTATTTTATTTTAAAACTTTACTATCACTTCTTATTTTCCACTTAAATGTGTTAACTTAACTTGTTCGTGCAAATTGTACTTTCTAACGCCTAAGTATTTAAGTTGTGGCTTTTTGCCAAGAGTTAGAGAGAGAGGGAAAGTGAGCCGCTTTGCCACTGCATTCTGTACGAGTTTTCAATCAGTTGCTGCTTGCCTTTAAGGCCAGAGGTTTAATCCTCTTAATATTTAAAACGTATTGTAGTTTCGGCAGTTTGCGTACTACATACGTAACCTTTTAAAAAGGCCAGTCTTATTGTTAGGCATTTGTAAACTAATTCAAAGTTAGCTCTTTTTTAGAATTTTAGTTAGTAGTTTTATATTCTTATGTTCAGACCACGAGTGGTTGGTCTCTGTATCCCGAAGTGCGGGAATAATTAATTCTGTAATCTTATAGAGAATAATTATTTAATATTATTTAAAATCTTGTTATAAAGTAAACCCTTCCTGCTTGTGTCATCCATTCAACACATACTTTAACGTAGCTTTAGTAAGCTCCCTGTTCCTATTCAAGACACATCATATTCCCTAAACAAGTCAAAAGACATACTAGTCCTGATAAAATTATTTACTTGAAAACATTAATTCGGTTTTTAAGAACTTTTTCTTCCTTTTTGTTGTTCAAAATATATGCAAAATATTAATAATACTCACATTATTGCTCAAGCTAACATACTGGGAAAATGTGTTCTTACGAGAGGCAAGGACTGAGTTGTACGTTTATGCAGCAATGAAAACCATGCTTTAATTCCACCCTTGCATCTTATATTAGATCCAATTCCGATAATATATATCAACTTATTCCCTGATAGTGTCTAGCTAGGAAGAAGATCATATTTTATTTGAATCACCATGAGAATGCATCGTCATTAGTATGTTTGGGGAAAGCTAAGTAAAATCTCTAACAAGAATCTTCAACATTTTACCATGGAAATCATTAACTCCCGTTAAATGAGATTTAATACGTTTTTGCTTATTTTTTGTTTTGCTTCACTCACCGTGTAAGAAATAAATTCATGCATCTCTTTGAATTCTTCCTTAAATCTTAATTTCTTGTGAGAGAAAGTAAAATTTATCTTGCACGTTTAGGAATATATAATTTTGTCCATATTTTGCAGTAGTGGCTCTATTTCCATATAGTTCCGTTATGTGTAAGAAACTGATAAACCAGTTTAATGTGAGGTAGATAAACTCTTTGGAATCAGAAAGGGATAAGGTAAGTTTATTTTTCCTTGGGAAAGAGGGTGGAATAGTGCCCTTGCGTCAGTGATTATTATTTTAATAACAGCTGCATCAAAAATTATCATATACGTAGCTCCGATAACCTGCCTCTATCACGTATCTTTCAAAAACTGGCGTGTTGTGTGCCAGTAAAGGCGAAGAATAATAATGTGTGTGCTCCTTGAAACAGCATGGCTATAACCTATCAAGACCCTTTCTAGAAGTTTATGGCTTTAGGGCAGAAGAAAGAACACCACTCTGTAAAGACCTAATTTTGTACTAATAGTGTATTTTTATTTTAAGAAACTTTCCTCTTCCTTCTGATTTCAATTTTCTATCAGAATACAAATGTAAATGACGTAAATGCAAATCTAAATTAGTTCGGAAATAGTATTTAAGTAGCAGAATTTAAGAGTTTCTCAGTAGAAGAGTTAGTTACGAGTTTATGCCGCGTATTTGCAAGTAGCTGTGTTGCTGAATATTTGGTGCTAACCTCTTACTTTAATTTCTGTTGATATTCTAGACTCGGCTTTGCTGTGTTCAGCTGATAAAGCGGATTTAGATTGAAGTAGGAGCCAGTCGTGTACTTAAAATTTAATTCATTCTCATTATAAATACTATTTCGTGTTAAGTTACTTAGCCACAAGTGGTGCTTAAATTGTGAGCGCCGAGTGAGTGCATGTTCTGTTCAGTTTAGTTAAAATTAAAATGTTGTTATAACCTTCATCGGCAGTCATATGTTTTTTTAACAAGACATAGAATTTGCTATTTCGCATTATTGCATTTTGTGCCTCCCAAAAGAACGAGACTCTAGAGCTCTTGCTTACAAAGGAATGGGGCGACGTGTCATACGACCTATTCGACCATGAAGATGCTAGAACAGTTTTTGTTCACATAATCACATCTAAAGAGTACTGATACCAAGATCATCATAAGAGTACGGCCACCAAGATCATCACATAACCATATCTAAAGAGTACGGCCACCATTCATATCATCATGACGCAGACTATATTTTGAGGTGAGGGTAAGACTTAAAACAAACTATGTACTTAAACAACATACATACCTTAGAAGAGTTGAAAATACACATCACCGTTATCATCCAGAATGCACGGAAGATCACGGAATTGTAATTTACAGCTAAATTTTAGTTGCAAGTGATTTAATGTTTCATTGATTTCAGTATTTAGTTATTTGTTTGGCCGATAAAAATAAGAAAATACTATTCACCATGGCGGAAAATGTGATGGAAGAAGCGTGTTTCAAGATAGCAATGATGATAAATTTAGTATGGATGAATATGAAAGTGATTCTGATGACAGCAACATTGTTCCACCAGCGAAGGAAAAAAAGAAAGGTATTGTAATTTTAGTGAAAGTGATGAAAACGTGTCAGAAAATTTAGGTAGTGTTAGCGAAAACTGCTTTGTCTGTTCAACCCCAAAGACTAGAAGATAAACCGTTTATTTTTGTGAAACTTGCGAGGGTCAACCAGGTCTACATACTCCTAATTGGTTTAAAAGGTATCATACACTTAAAAATTACATATAATTTATAATTAAAAATTTTGATTTACAGAATGTTCACATTATGATAATAAAATAATAGCGTTACAAGTATCTTGCCTTTTAAATTTTATATGCAAATTTTACCTTTAAAAAAATCCTACATCACATAGCCAGATACAGCAAACAAAAGTCCGAGCTGCCGGGGAGGGGGAAAGCTTTAGGTGAGAAAAGCGTTAATCCAAACTTAAAGCAATTTTATGAACATACAACTAATACTCCAATTACTTCATATAATAGGATTATGCAGATTACAAAATTAAATATTGCCAAAACGTCGTTTGAGCTGCAAATTTCAGCTTCAAGTTTTATATTTATTTGACCATATCATTTTCTGAAATCTAGCACATAATTTTCTAAATTGGTTTACTACATTTTCGTCCCGTCTCATAAAATGTCAATGTAAGTAATCACGTATACGAAAGTTTTGTCCACTTCCCAGTGTCTTTGGGATTTTTCGTTTCATGATTACTGTTATTATTATAACTTTTCTCTTAATCATGATTTCTTATTCATTTCTCTGCAGTCTGCCCTGATGGGACATATGGTGTCAATTGTTCTCAGCGTTGTATTTGCGAAAATAATGGAAGTTGCAATTCTTTAACCGGAGAATGCACCTGTAAACCAGGATACATCGGAACAGTTTGTTCCCAAGGTAAGAAATACTTTCACAAAATCAATCAGAGTTTTTCAAAACGTTCAATGTGTTTATGAATAACAGTCATTCCTAGAAGCTTCATTAAATGTTATGGAATGAGCTAGTTTATGATACAATGTTCTGAAAACCGACGCAAAGTTTTTCCTTTCTATGATTTTTAGTATTCATTTAGTAACACTGAGAAAATTGCTTGTGGCATCATCGCATGAACTTCCACGGATCAAACTTCCACGGATCGGTAGTTACGGAACGATGAAAAATAAAAATTTCTAAAAATGTTTCGCCGGTACTATGTAGGGATGAACAAATGGCCTCGAATGTTATGTGTTAAATCACGAATACCCAAACCTTTTCTTGCATCAACCTCTTTTAAATGAATGAGTTTCTTCATCGAGCGCCTTACACTTTTTTCTGTACACAATATAAATACTAAAAAAGATAACTGCACTTAAATTACTTAAAGGTGACAATGGATAAACAAGATGAACAACAGTTTTGAAAAATCTGTTTGTTAGATTTGTGTTTAATGAATTTTCGTCTATTATTATTTTTATTATTACAAATATAAACAAGTTTTCAAAAACAAAATCACGGATTCTAATTGCACAGAAGTTCGATTTTAATTAATGTAACGGTGTCGCTCGATGTATTGATTCAATTTTTTTAACAGTTGGCATAAAACTCCTTAATTTTGGAATTATATCGCTCTATTTAACTGTTTCTTGCTTCGCATTCTTCGTTTTTTTTAATAGTGTTCTTTTTATACTTCTTGCGTTTTACTTTTTCATTTCTTATATTCCTCTTATTGCATAAAATGTCGCATATTTTTAAGGTGCATGATTTACTTTAAAAATGCATTAAATAATTTTAGTGTATATTTCCCTTATATTTATTTTATATGAATTCTTCCTTACTATATGATATAACTTTATGTCAATAAACAATTGATATCAACTTTATTAAGAACTTTTTAATGAATAGGATTTTGATTATACCAATTAATTGTCGGTGCATATTCGAATATAGATCTCCAATCGATCCCTTGATCATCATTGAGGCCCTAGATAATCAATATCGACCCTTTTGGGAACCCCTGTGTTCAAAAGTTATGTGTAATCGGCTGGCCGTAACAGTATTGAATGTTAAATTTTCTTTCGTTAAATTCAATTAGTTACTTTAGTAGACGTAACCCGATACAATTATTGATATTTGAAGCAATCTGTGAATGCTGTTCAACACTGCATAAATAAATTTAGAAGATAATCGGGCTTTTTATGTTTATTCATATCAGAAAATTTTAGTCATTAGTCTAGATATATTTAAGTTTAAAATTTCAACACAAAATAGATTTGTCATAATTAGGAAAAGCATAGGTTGAAAAATAAGAATTTTTAAAGTTTTTATTCATGAGAATAAGATTATTAGAAAGTTGTTACGTCCACACGATTTTTTTTTTCATTTCATAGTTTTATATATTTTTCTTAATTCTTCTTCTTTTCACCGTTTTTAATTTTTAATGACCAATAGGAAATTCCTTTAGTATTTTGTACTGTTATTATTAACGCCAGAAACAGACAACTGTTCCGTTTATGGCTTTAAACTCAATGTCTACCAGCGGTAAGAAACTATAGTCCGCTAACCTTAATCTACGGCTGGAGTGCCAGAATAATGGTCTTAAGTAAGCATTTAAAATAAATATAAAAAAAGCTGAGAAAAGTATGTCAGTAACAACCATGCAGTAACATAAAATTATATGGTGCTATACAAAAGTTTGAGTTACGAAATGAAGTAAATGTGTGAGCTTTTTTATATTGCAGCTAGTACTTCATTTATGTTTGCCAAGTGGACTTCAGAAGTCCTTGCGTTTTACGGTACAGACTGGGATTCTTTAAAATTACTGTGAAACAGGAGAGCTGTAGACCTGCATTTGGCTGGCATAGGTATGTCTGTCTATTAGAAGGTGCTGAAAAGTATAATAATTCAAATCTTCTGCAATGCTAAAAAGGCATTTAAGCCTTTACCTCTTGAAGGATCTTGCTAATAGTCAGGGATCGTACCCTGCTCTGACAAGAATCAAATCAATGTTGAATCTGACAAGCGCATTAAAAAATTTTAAGGATTTAAATCCTAAGTCCATCTGCCAGTTACTGAAGAGTCTCACTCCTACTACTATCTATTCCTGGCGCTTCTGTAAGGGAACTTTTGGAATGTGAGGGCGGAGAAGTAATTCTCCATATGAGGAAGTTGCTTTATTGATCAGTTTGTAATTTACCTTGCTGGGAGTATCAACCAACTGCTCACCAAATATACCCCATTGGCGTGGACCTAGCACAATGTGAGTTTTAAGCAGCTATATGTCAAACAAGAGTTTTCGGAAGTTGTGCGGATTATAGTGTTAACCTTAATGCGTTGTCGAATAGAACAAACTCTTTTGCTTATATATATTGCAGCCATAATGAAAAGTTTCTCCGGTTGCTTTTAAAGGTTCTGCCTCAAAGATACTATTTTTATCACTTATGCGCCTTGTTCAGATATATGACTAACGCCTTCAGCGAATGCCTAAAGCGAAGCCTGTCCCTATTTTTGAACTATCTGCGTATAAAATGAAAGTTTCCATCCGTAGGATATTCGTGAAACTAATTCCTGCCATCATTATTTGCGGAGCGAAGAAAATTAAATCTGTGTTTTGTCTAGTTCGATGATTTTACAAATAAAACTTATGCATATATTCTTTCTTGCACTGTAGAATGTCCTTCAGGATATCATGGGGATCTTTGTCGAAGCACATGCCAGTGTCAAAATGGAGCAACTTGTGACCCAGAAACAGGAAAATGTATTTGCCCATCAGGTTATACCGGAAATGCATGTGACAAAGGTGAGCGTTTTTCATTAAAATCTGAAATCATTTGATATTATCCTAATTAAGTTAAGAACGAAATTTTAGTTTAAGTATCGTCTGAGATAAAGCAGTTAAGTTCTAAGCATTTAACCACATTTTCTTTCATTAGTTAAAAATTTGTAAAATACAGAATACCATTTTCAATTCATAAAACTTATGAATAGACTATAAAAAATGTTTTTCTGTAAAATGTTTTATGCTGAAATTTCTTCAAATTTAATTAGCCTGCCCACTGGGAAAGTTTGGTGAAGATTGCCAAAATGATTGCAAATGTTCAAATGGTAAATGTGATCCTAAGACTGGTAAATGTCTTTGTCCGCTTGGTACAACAGGGAATAATTGTACAGAAGGTACCTTGAATTTTATATAACACATTTTTTTTACGAATAATATTCTATTGCATCAAGATATTGATTTCGCTTACTTTTTATTGTTAAAATTTTCAGCTTGCCCTCACAATTTCTTTGGGCCGAACTGTGATCTAGAATGCCACTGCAAACATAACGCATCTTGTGATCCTGTAACTGGTTGTTGTAATTGCCCTAATGGATATATCGGAGGACTTTGCCAATACGGTAATTATATTTTAAAATTTCATTTAGTTAATGATTACTTTGCTGTTCAAATGAAGAAGAATTATTGCTTTAATGTTGTTTCAAAGTTTTCAGTCTTATGTATTATCTTATCCCTAAACTCAATATAGCTTCTTCCTTTCTTTTTGCTTCCTTCTTTGCATAACTAAGTTGTACTTTGTTACTTCTGATTCCTTTCATTTTTTATATTATATATGTAAATTTAAAAAATATGTAAATTAAAAATCCTAGCTTTAATTCTTAATAGCTCCTTAAGTCTCCTATTTAACTTGGTTATTTCCTTTTCTGTCCTGAAGACAGTAACATGATTTTAATAAATTTCTCTGAAGTGCGTCATTTCATAATTAATGCCTGTCATGTAATTCTTATACAATTCTAAAGGCGCGGGTACTTACATAACGCTTCAGCTAATAGTAATAGTAAAATTCGAGAATTAAAATCTTAATTATCCGATACGATTAATGTGAATATAACTGAATCATTCTTATCTAGACTTTCTAACTGGGAACTTCGAATTCCTTTTTTGCTTGCTGCTTTGCTAAAATGCAGCCACTTATCTTTCTTTCATCAAGTAGATATATTATTATAAAGATATAAAAAAGCGTAAATTGATAAAAAATAAGCGCAGATTGCTCTAATTAAGCTCTACATTTTATGCTCAAGAATGTGTTTGTCAACAAAGTAAAGAAGCATTAAACCGGGCACGATTAAAACTATATCTTTATGCAGCAAGCATTAAAATCACGCATCTAACTCAATCAAGATCAACATCAAATTTTTCATCATATTATATATATGATGTTGTGGTTTTTGCGGGTGATGAAAACAGTACAATCTTCAGTCATGGTCGAGAAGACTGTTGCTTAGATGACGACTGGTACGAAAACTAGAACCGGCTTGATTGTTAAAACATCATTTTTATTTTTGCACGGGAATAATTATTCAGAAATACATTTCTGCTTAAAACTGGTGCAACACTAGGAGTGCTAAGCGTGCCCCACAATTTCGATATACGCAGTTTACATTTTAGATATTAAAGAATTTAATTAATTAAAGACATTAAAGAAAGACGAAGCGAGAAACGTGGTTTCCTCAAGCAGCAGCCGGAAAAAAAAAATGCGCACTTACTTCGGTCTTATTTATAGCCGGAAAGTTTTTGTGTTAATCCTGAGCAACTATTGGGATGTGCTGCAGTGTAGAGAAGTTGCAGGGAAAGAGTGAAGTAACATATGGTTTTTTTTTTAGGTTATTTGCAGAGGGGCGCAAAATAGTGCAATGCGTATCTTTGAAGCGGGACTGTGTTTCATTAAAATTGATAAATTCGAAGATTTATTGCCATTTGATTCCAATTAAGTTTAACAATTTTGTTTCATACTTTATATTTTATAACTATCTGGGTAGGTATATTCCAGACTGACAGAATAAAAATTTCAGAAACAACTACCAGTAGCCCTCAGAATGTAATTAGGTATTTGTAGTCAGAATTTAAGACTCAGGTTATTAATAGTTTAAGACATAATACCCCGAGCATGTTCATTAGGAGGGATTAATTAATATCTCCTAATGAATTAATATCTTAAGCTGTAAATTCTGATTTTCTCTCAGATTGAGGAAATTTCTTTTAGTTTTAGAAAAACATTTTAGCTTATCCATCCTCTTGGTAAAATATTTTAGAACTATTTCTTCTTTATCAAATCTGAATTAAAAATAAAAAGAGGCAATATTAAGTTAACCAATAATGCCTAAAAATAAAAAGAGGCAATATTAAGTTAACCAATAATGCCTAATCGAATTTAATTTTAATTTTAATTAAAGATCTTTCTTAATTAGATTCACATATAAACAATCAAAAATGATATCCAAAAAGTATGCTAATGCTTTATATTTATAACTTTCCTTACACTTGTAAGGAATTTTCTCCTTCGCGTGTGTTCGTGATGTAATTGGAAGAACTTCTGTCTAGCGATGGGAAGGCCTGGAGACACGAAGAGTAATCTTCACCAAGTCTACGTGTAGACTACACGAAGAGGAGTCTTGGAGCCTTAAACCTTCATGCTTCCTGCTTCGACAAACCTAATAGCTCTCTATATATATTATAATAAATTACATATTTGATCTGACTATGTAACAATTTTGTGTCTGAAAGTAACAATTTTGTGTTGTTTTATGAACTTCTGGCATTTCAAATATCACTGCAGCAAAAAGGTAGTTGAAATACTTCAATAACTTTTCATTGCTCATTTAGCATTCCTTAAGGCGTACTTTTTTTCTTCCAGAATGTCCCGAAGGATGGTTTGGAAAGTCCTGCGAAAGACAATGTGATTGTGCAGGTACTGCCACCTGTCACCCTGTTTCAGGTGTATGCAGCTGCCCAGCCGGTCAATATGGTATTAAATGTGAGAAAGGTATTGAAGAGATCAATTAAAAAACTAATTTTTTACGTACTGCTTTTTTCCACTTTCCACTTAGTCACTCCAATATTTTGTTATACATATACACTGCTCAACAAAATTAAAGAAATAGGTGATTTAACGAGAACTTATTGTTGCTAGTAAATATGCAGCACAACGTAAAAAATCTACTTGTGAAAAAGTGCAAAAGAATAAAAATTCGAATAGATGAAAAATCATGTTTCGATATAAACAAGGATTATTTTACAAGAAATTCACATGGTGCCATAAGACAAAAAAAACCTTACTACCCATGTCTTTAGAGAAGACAAAATTAACATTGACGAAATTTGGTCAATTTCTAATAAGATGTGTGACCATCTCCAACGTGCAAGAAGGTTCTACACCTGCGAGGCATTACATTAATGAGCCATTCGATGAGGTCTTAGAAATTTTTCCTCATTTTTCAAGAAGGCCATTTTGCAACCGAATGTGCGTCAATGGAGATTGAGACTTAGCAGTAATGCGAGCGCCTGATGTATCGCAAACATCGAGGCCCATCGGACCGAGCAGTATGTCTGCCGCTCCATACGTTCGATTTTCTCCTTCAAGTCTCTGGTTCAAGTGTTGAATGAGTTTGGGCATTGTCAAGCCTAATAAAGGCTAAATCCGCGATGGCAGCTCTATAAGGCTTGCCAATAATCTAAAAATGTCTTCCATATGTCTGTGAGCAGTTAGCGAACAGTTATGAATGATGCAGAGTTCAATACATCCAACTAATCTTATCCTTGCCAAAAAAAAAGCACTCTTTCTCCAAGAAAACGTGATTTTTTTTAAACTGTATTATGTGCCATGATCTCCGCAGATCAGAATTTATCGGTTATCTGGTTCTAGGCTAAATCTGGACTCGCCGGAGAAGGGATTGGTTTGGTTTATGTGATTACGGCAAAGCGTCGAGTGCTATTTGCCTAAGAGGAGGGATGCCTTCATGGAGGACTTTCTAAAGGAAACTGGCTCTTGTACATGTTATACATGTCTCGGAGATGGAAACATGATCCTCGATTACAGTTTTCTTTAATCCTGTTTCTTCGAGTCCTAAGACGCTGAGAGGCCATTGGAACAAAAAGGACATGCCTATGCGCTTATAATATTTGTGTGTGAAAGCATCTGCGAATTTATTCGTATAGAAATTCTTCTTTTGGTTTCCGTTAAAAGTTGTTTTTGCATCTGAGTAGCATTTTGGCACTTGTTCTGAAAGGCTGTTGTTAACAAATAACAGTCTGGTGGTAGCTCGTGAGCTGCCTTCACCAGGACGTTGTCGGACACTTCCCGTCTCTTTGAACGAAATGCACAAGCATACAGTTATATTTCGACTCACTTCAGTGACAAACGTAATTATCTCTTAATTTTCACAGGATTATGTCTTGTTTTTTGGCAATTTGGATTAATTCGACATGCTAACGAGAAACAAACGTAAAAAACTACTTCTCCTGAAAGGAGCAATATAAGATTACATTTCAGAAAGAACTATCCGTTCATGTGATTTTTGCATGGAGGTCAGGTTTGACTTCCTTGTCCGTAATTTGAGTTTTGAACTGATTTCTGTAACTGTCTTTTTATTACCTGAAGGGATATTTTGCTAGTTCAGTATAGCTTTACTCAGTTTCTTTGGATAAAATAGTTTTAAAAAAAAGCCCTCTCTAATTTTGTTGACATATGTATATACTAATGTCATTTGAATAGAAATTTCTTTTCAATACTGATTGCATCCATCAATATCTTTTAGCTTGCTTACCAGGATTTTATGGACACGGTTGCCAAGAAGAATGCAACTGTGGAATTCATCCTTGTGATCCAGTGACTGGAATTTGTAATTGTCCTCCTGGATTTAGTGGACCACGATGTAATGAAAGTAAGATACGACTTTCACACTTAAAATAAAACTAACATTTTTCTTTATGGCTCACAAATATGAAAACCTGAAAAATCTCAATGCTATAAAATATTCAAAATGTCAACTGTGTAAATTATGCTAATGAATATTCAGATATTATTCATCTGATATGACGATTTAGGGAATAAATGTTATATTTTTAAGCTAAATTGAAAACAACCCTTGTTAAAATAGCTTTCATTGTACATGAGACCTGACCAGAAATCTCCGCCTACATTTATTACATATGAAGAGAGGATAAGGATTATTTACAGTAGCTCTTAAGTAAAAAATTTCATCAAATTAGATATAGATATTAACTTTTCTTTTAAAGCTTTCCCTTCTTTTAATATTTAAGTTATACCAATAAAATAATAATTATTTATAACAGCTCTTTTAAATTTTTACAATTTCATTATACTGCATATAAATGTTGATCTGCCTTATGCTTTTCCCCTTCTTATATAAATTAATTTATTCCTGTAATATTCCGCAGAATTGTTTGAGCTACGCAATAATCTGGAATGTTGTTTTGTACCTACGGCATCGTAACTTACTCTCTCAGTTATTGTGCGGGTTGAAAGTCCATTAATTGTTTGAGCTACGCAATAATCTGGAATGCTGTTTTGTACCTACGGCATCGTAACTTACTCTCTTGGTTATTGTGCGGGTTGAAAGTCCATTAATTGTTTGAGCTACGCAATAATCTGGAATGCTGTTTTGTACCTACGGCATCGTAACTTACTCTCTAAGTTATTGTGCGGGTTGAAAGTCCAATAAATCAAAAGAGAAACAATTTACTTTTCCCATCGCTCCTCCTTCCTTCATTATGGTTATAAAAACAATAATGAAAGACGCTATAAAGTCTAATTTTTTTAGGGAGCATACACTATAGACCTTAAAATTAACCATTAGTTGAAAAACAAATAGATAAACCTCACAATGTTTTTAAATATGCAACGAGTACATGTGACACTATTGTCGTAAATAAAACAGCTGACATTTCTCAATAGGCATGACATTCTGATGCTTCAAGGTAAAGCTTAGGAATATGTCTTACAATAATAATATAGAACATTAATAAGTTAGGATATGAAATTCTTCATACCCTGCCCTTTGTCCGGACATTCACAAAAGGATTATTATTTGTCTCGGTTTTCTTTAAACAGGAAAGAACCCTCCATCAAATCACAGATTTAGGGAAGGTTTAGAAAGAAAATTCCGTAATGGTCAGCCTTTTATTAAAAATGAGATTCTGCATGTTTGCATGAACAACTCTAAAACATAGTGATAGAAATGTATTTATGCCAATAGTAAACTATTTTGATTAATCATGTATCATACAGATTGCTCCTGTTTTATGCTTCTTTCCTGTGCGCTGAAGGAATCAACTATTTCTATTGCTATAATCTAATATTTTTACATTTTCTGTAACAAATAAAATTTTACGGAGCGGAATCAACAAAACTATTACCATAGCGGTAGTTATATTAGAGATCAGAGTTCAAAATCTTAATTCTTACTTATGATTTATATTCAATTATTTTTAAGTATTAATTTTTTATGTGTATGTAGCTTGCAATATTGGAAAGTATGGACCAGGATGCGGGCTGCGATGCGAGTGTCAACATGGAGCAACCTGCGACGCAATATCTGGAAAATGTTCCTGCCCTCCCGGATGGATGGGATCCACATGCAGCGTTGAAGATGGTACGGAATTAATTTTTCCAGCATTTATTGATGAAAGTTAATTTTTGTCAAATCAAAACTAAGCGTTTTATTTTTATTATTTCTAAGAATTTTATTTTCAATAAGGATCTAAAAGTTTAGAGATGAAGTCAATTCATTTGATAGTCGTAAAGTTACTGATAGCTTAAAATAAGTACTCAGTTATTTATTTTTATCATGACATTTTGGGGGTGGCAAATATTTAGAGAATGACTGAGGAGTTATATTTTAGATGTAAGTCCACATTTTCGAAAGAAAACAAAATGTAATCCAGAAGACGGCGCATTAAAAAAAATAATATAATAATAAGAATATAAATAATTAAAGGACAAAATTTATATATATTTTATTAATAATTAATTTTGTTTCTTTGAGTTTTCATTTATTTATTTTAACTAAACTTACTGTCACAAAAGAATAAACTTCGCTTTCCTTCTAAAATGCCATTTGTATTCAAACAAGGTACAACAGAAAAATTGAGTACCTCCAATGTAGTGCGAAATTGCGCAAGGCTATCTAAACGTGGAATTTCTAACAGGAAGACTCGGATAGTTTACTTTTAAACTCAGCCAACTGAGGTGGTACGCGGTGAAACATAAAACCACCACCCTCTGTTCACCCAAAACTATATCAACGCACTTCCTTCAAACCAATGTAAATGTACGTTTAGTGGCAGACCCTGTATGACCATGTATGTATAGTGTTACTATCAATAAACTTCCGATGCGGTCTTTATTGGAGGGTGTGGCTCAACTAGGTACTTGCGGATACCCGATTTGTCATAAAAAGCCGTCCGTGTGTCCTATCTTGCATTCACCTAATCACCTGATCCCCTAGCACCAACCACTCGAGAGAACTTTCGGCTTGCCGTGCATTCCGACTGTCTCTTGCTACACATACTCTATACACTTATAAACACCCATGCCTTCTCAGGAATTCGAACTTGAGCCCAACGAACGATAGTGCAGCTACAAGTACCAACTTCTATACCGATCGGAGAAGCGATGGTAGCTTAGTAGCTGAAAATGCACTCTTCAGCCTGTACTAATGCTGGTAAAATAAATATGCTTGATCACTTGATGCCAGAGAACTAATTAATGAACGCTTGGTACATTGTCTGGAATAGCAATGAATAATAACTTAGTAATATGAATCAGGTTTGCTCATATTTAGCAATGAATTTATAAACTTTCAGATATTTGGTGAAACAATGGTCAACACTATTTAACCTTGACCATACATTTCGTCTAATGTTGAATAGCTTTTGGGATGTTCATATGATGGATGCTTTCGTAGAAGTGCAATGCTCTTAAGTTTTCCTTTAAATTAATCTCGTATATTTTCCCATAATATCACTTCACTTTGAGGAACAGAAAAATAATCCACAAAATGCCAAATCTGGCAAGGAAGGGAATGATTAATGCACTAGCAGACAATTGCTAGGACGAATGACAGTAGCAACGACAGCAATCACAAAATGAAAGGCAGGAAAATGTGGAAATTAGCATAAGTGCGGAAGACATGTAGTGCGCATGCAAATTTTGGTTTGCCGAAGTTGTTCGCCACTTTATAGCGCTGATAAGAGGTATAACGGATTTGACGCGTATTGACTGTTGTTGTTCAAAAGCAAAATTTAACGGGAAAAAAATCAACTCATGAACTTTTGTGTTGTCTTCCCGACATCACTTGGATGATTTTTCGCGTGCCCGTAATTGGCACGATTGAAGAAAGGCAAAAAATAGCAGATGTTGTTAAGGAGTTCGACGTCAGCCACAGTGTTGTTTCAAGACTTTGAAAATCATTCAGACAAACGGAATGTGTAGCAAACGCGACGGGGGATGTCGTGTTCGCAGTAAGACGCCTGTAGAAGTTAGGTACCTAATGATATCGAGAAAAAGAAACCTGCGCAACACATCTACTGAGGTATCAGATCAGTTATTTGCTAATCTTTCGGAAAACTGTAACTAGACGTTTGTATCAAGGAGGACTATACGTCCGCCGTCCTGTTGTGCGCATGCCATTTCCTAGACGTCACCGTTCCGCCCGTTTGCAATGGTGTCGTCAGCATCACATTTGGAAGGAAGGTGAGTGGGCTTGTGTACTGTTATTAGATGAAAGTAGGTTCAGTCTCTCGTCTGTTTGTGAATGACAACTGATGTGACGTGAAAGTAGTACTTCATATAATTCGGCAAACATACAGGAAAGGGAGTGATATCCTATAGTTTGTCTATCATAAGAAAAGCTCTCGCCAGTTAGTCTGCAGCTGTCTGTTGGCGTAAAAACGAGCCTTGAAGCATTTTCGATACGGGTGTCTTGAAGAGGAATGATAAACTCTTTTACCCTCAGCAAACAGTCGCCTAAAACAAAATAACAATAAAGCAGCCCTTAGTTCGCCCCTGTTTGAAATATTCCTCAGCCCTGTTGCTATAGCGGGACAGTGTGGCGTGAGCTGTTCTTCTGGTAGACAGACAGTACATGTAGTGTCATGGTAGGAGCTGGCCGTACATCGCTCTATGTGCTTTCAACTGGGACTATGACTGGCCAAGTATACATTAAGGATGCTGTGCTGCCTCATGTTCCTCCATGGTGACCATTTCCAGTATTGACATCCTTACGTCAGAATGCCTGCGGACGGAAATTGCATTTTTTTACACTTTTACGTATTCAGCATAATATGAACATTTTTCAGCCTTTTGAATTTCAGAGCACATTAAATTATCTTTATTGCTATATCCTAGTATTCTGGCATTATTTTATTTCACTTGGCATCCAACTGTGATCCGTCCTTAAAAATTGTCCACCAGTGTAAACGTCATACCTTTCTTTCCATTGTGTAGGGTAAATAAATTCGTTACCTGGTCATCATGATCCTGTCTTTGTCGAAATGAATAAGTATTTTATAAAATCAATATAAGGTTGATTTTTGAATAATGTAACATATTCATATTTTTATAAATGCTTGAATAAAATTATATTAACCTGAATATAATTCGATCTCTGGGCACGTAATGGTTAGCTTAAGCAGTTGTAACCTGGAAATTTTGTGGCACAACATGTAAAACTGTTAAATCTGAATAATAAGATTTTTTTTTTTTTTTCAACAAGGAGTATAACACAATGGATAATGAAAATAATGTAACTTGTATAATGAAACAAGAAAGAACTCTCATTTCTAACTATCTCAGAACCTTTCTCACTGAATAAAATTCGTCAATCATAGTTATGTACGTCACCGAAACAGCAGTGGCCGAGTAACATATTAGCAATTCTTTTGGATTCTGTTTCTGTCAATACAATTAATTAGCTACAAGGAAGCTTCGTGGTTTTCAACATACATAACACGATGGTGAGCGGACCATGCCTTAGAATATTCTCCCCAAAGGTAACCTTCCTTTTTGAAAGAAAATCTTCGAGTATTTCTTCATATTTAATTAATCCCATCCAACCGATCAAATGAATTTATTAAAGTTTACGAATGATTGCACATCGTATATTAAATAAAACTTTTTGGTATTTGCTAAGCATTTCCTTTTATTGAGCTCCCCGTCGCCTATTAAGAAGTGAAGCAAAAGTTGCATATTGTTCCTTAGGCTCGTTCAGTTGTGATACACATCTCCGTAAAAGGCGAAAGGGATTCCAATAAAATAAAATAAATGCATTAAGAACTACTATCTACACAAACTTTTGCAAAGCAAGCGAACCTTTAGATGTCTTCTTTGAAAGTTCTAGAAGACTCTTGTGCTGTTTTAATAGGAATAGAAACTAGCTGCTTACCTTGTATTTCACATTTCAAATGAATTATCTACACACCGTCCTATTCTACCGTGTGTGTGACAATGGTTTCTTCTTGGGCCCCCCATATTCAATATTTATGTGGATGACATTCCACAAACACCACACTTGCAAGGTACACTAATGACACAGCAATCATTGCTCAAAACGCATTTCTTAGTCCATATATCCAATATTTACAAAACTACATTCAAGCTCTTGAGACATCTGGCTAAAGGCATAGAAAATTACGGTCAAAATCGATAAAACTGTTGTTACCATATTCAGTCCGAAGTGGAAAACCTCAAGTTTTATGGGAATATTCTTCTATGGAGATTCCAAATCTCTTATTTGGGGATGATCCTCATGAATTCTTTCACATGTATTAAAAATGGTTCAGTTACGAATATATTACTACCACTTCACCTAGAATTTTCATGATAACCAAAGGAAAATTAATAACTCATAAATTAGAATTTCTAGCTACAACTACAACTACAACAATTCTGTAAACAGCAAGAGGCCAAAGGCCATTCCCTATCTCCAAACAATTGTTTAATAAACCTTTTCATGTTCTATACTTTTTATTATTATCTTTTGTGTGTAATTCACCCTTTACTTATCACCACTTACTAGCTTCTGCTTTAAAAACTATTAGAAACTTGCAATCTCTTGACGTTTTAAACTCATTGTTTGCATATTACATCAGTTACTCATTGGTTAATTGGCAATCCCAATTGTATTCATTTCGGGATACGGCCTCGTGACCGGGAACCCACGTGTTTAACACCATTTCACCCATTAACTTTCAGACCCACACACGAACATTTTTTGCAAAGCTAGTTTTATGGAATTAGTGCAGGTGGTCGGTTTTCTGCACTATTTCGTACAGTTGGGCGACACTACCTTTGCTGTTCACTTCTCATCGACAGGAGGTGAGAGTGCCTGCCCAGGACATTTTTATTACTACCAGTCAGGTCCAGTAGCTCATTCGTAAAACTTCAGAAATTCATACTTTTTTTTAATATTTCTTACAGGATCACCTGCTGCAGTTGCAGAGAGTGAAATTGCCAATGACATCAGTTAAACAAATGAGCTTATGAAACATTTTGAAAAGAACTCTTTAGTTCAAGTCATCATTATAAGCATTTATAATTATGCTGTGCTTATGGCTGAAAGCCAAGGTATGTCAACCAAGGAAGAAGATTATTTCTCAGGAAAATACACAGCATCTCAGCATTTTGGAAGACAACTTCTCAGGAGAAAGAAGTAAAAATAGGTGATATGGATCATGAAATAATAACTTAACTTACTTTTCTGATTGCAAATTACTTCATAAAAAAAAACACTACATTTTGCTGTGTAAAATATACAATTTCTTTTTATTTATAAGAATTATTGCATTCTTTTGTCAAATATTGTCACATTTTGCTTTGTGAATACAAATGAAAGTGCCATTTAGCAAATTATGTGTATTATTTTGATCTTTAAAAATTTGATGTACTTGTATTTCAAGTTGAGATAAATTTCTTGCACCTGAATTATTACACTATATCAAGTTATTCAAAAATATTTAACAAGAAAAATGCATTTTTCCACTATGTAGTCAGGAATTAGGATAATGAAATTTTTATGCTGTATTACAGCATCAAACTATGTAAAATGCATCTTCAGGAGTGAAAATGAAATCATTGGCAATATTAAGGAAGATAATAATTTTGCATTATACCCTGAAGGTGACTTGATTCCTTTCATATGGACAGATAATTTCTGTGTCAAGAATTAAATACTATAAAGCTAGTTGATAAATTAATATATTTTTATAAAAGGTTCATTATGGTGAAAGTATGAATAATAAGTACTATTAAACTTGTATCTTTAGATATTCACCATACAACATTCTTTTCAACAGTTTATTCCAGTTGCACCTAAATATTTTGAAGCATAGGTAAAGTATAATAAGCATTAATTTAAAAAAAGTTCAATATGTATAAAAATATGATGTAAGGTTCTTTCAGTAGAAGACGATTATAAGCTATTTTATATTAAAAAATATCTACAGAGAAATGAAACCAAATATCAACACATATGCTTAAAACTCAAACTTAAATGGCTACATAAAAATATGTGATATGTAAATGTGAAGGTATATTTAAAGGAAACAAACTCAATATTAAGTAGACTTTAATAAAAGAGAGATATCACAAAAAACAACAGAGCTAAACATTGCTCATTAAAAGAGAAAAGTCTGAAAACATTACAGTCTTTGTTGCAAAGGCCAACAGTACACAACATATCAAATCCGAAATCCATCAAGAGACTAAATTTATAACTTCCATCATTATTTACATTTCTGGATTTCATTTTGAAAACAAAATGTTAGCACAGTAACCTCAGCTGGAAAACAAAGCAACTTTATGAGTAGGTCAAAGACTGAATATAAATTTAAAATTTACTGTTGTTAACACATATTTACTTCATTAGTCATGAGTTGATGAGATTATTTTTTTAAAAAATGTAAATACTCAAAAGAAGAACAAACTAAAATCAATGATTTAAGTTTTATAGGAAGTTTGATAATTCAGATTTTATAGTGACTAGGTAGAACTGACTAAGTAAAAATTGTAATGCTCTGAATACTGTAAACAATAAGCCCATTTACTGCAAAAGAATCATCTGAAAGAACACTGCTAAGTCAAATTATTTTAAAGTCAAACTCTTAAATACTCATCAAATATCGAATAAATACATGACTATAGATTCCTTATTGAAGTTAATTTTCACATACCAGACACACGCTTTTTTTAAATCTCAGTGACTTCACATATACAGTAATAAATATGCTTGTAAGCACACATAATATGTCATTACAAACATCTACAATACACAAACAACAACCATATTTTTAAACATATTATTCCACAAAACAATCAGATCTGTAAACATTTTGTTGCACAAAACATTCAGGTCAGTACACATTTTATTCGATAAAACGATCAGATCTCAACAACCATATTATTAAACATATTATTCCACAAAACAAACAGATCTGTAAACATTTTGTTCCACAAAACATTCAGGTCAGTACACATTTTATTCCATAAAACAATCAGATTGCAACAACCACATTATTAAACATATTATTCCACAAAACAATCAGATCTGTAAAGATTTTGTTCCACAAAACATTCAGATCAGTACACATTTTATTCCATAAAACAATCAGATCTATAAGCAGTTCCACATAACAGTCAGATCGGTAAACATTTTGTTCCACCAAAAACATTCAGGGCAGTACACATTTTTTTTTCACAAAACAGTGGGTCAGTAAACACTTAGGTCAGTACATAATTAGATCAGCAAATGCTTTGCTTCAACAATTTGACACAGATCACAAGAGATTATTCATAAAAATTTCTGCAGTTTAAACAGCTCATGTAATCATAACATAAACACATATCTCTTGATTTATAATATTATAGATAGAATTTATCAAGCATTACAAAACTTCATTTTGCTTGACTATTCCAATCTATTATGAAAAATATATATTACCGATTTATAGGGCGGGATAAAATATTTAAGAACTGGCTCACTGCCTAAATAAGCAATAAATTAGACATTAAATAGCACCAAATTGCGTGAATAAAATAATAGAATTCAATTTTAACATACAGATCATCAAAATAAAAATGTGAAAAATTATGAGCTTAAATTTAATAATAATTATAAAAATGAAAAGATTATGCAGTAATCTCAAAATTAAAGCAAAGAAACTAAATGCAGTATTCTGAAGTGACATGTCATTATAATACTTGTTCTAGAATAATACTTGTTCTTGAGATTTTTCATGCTAAAAATGAATCAACTTCCAAACTGAATGATTAAAAATATATAAGATATTCCTAAAAAAACTGAAATATTTCCTTAAATTTAAGTTAACTATAATGACTAATTTTCGAAAGCTTAGCCAAAAAAAAAAAAAAAAAAAAAAATTCTTGAGCATGTCTTCCTGACCCAAATTGCACCTATCTATTATATATATGTTAATACCGCTTGCTTTTTTAAACAATGTTACATGAAAAATGTCTGCATTATATACAAAGGAATATCACAGATACCAAAATTAGAACCCCATCATTTAAGCTGCAAATGAATATCCATAAGTATTTTATACTCATATTTCACATTTGCATTCTGATCCAAAAAGAGGGATATATCAAAATGCAACAAAATTATATCAATACTCAAGTAGTATAATTGCAAAAACAGTCATTGACAAAGGAGGCTATCACTCAGTTTTGCTTTTGAATTTGATTATTAGTTTTGAAGGGGAAAAAATCACAATACATCTTTTATATTGATTCCGGTTCATACAGATTTTACCAAATGAGTAAAAGATAACTTAAAAGAACTATATGATTATTCTTATTATACAATGCTAAAATGGAACGGAAAGTTAAGATCTAATATATGTTAAAGAAAAATTGTAATTAATATTAATTATTGGAAGATTCATTTATGTAACCATAAAAAAAGAAAAGAAAAAGTTAACTTAATAATTTCATAGGATTGAAACAGCCTCTCCACAAAAGCAAATGAGAATGATCCACAAAAGCAAATGAGAAGTCATATTATGCCTTGCAAGTTCCCTTTATTCCTCTCTTCCAAACGGCACAGCCGATCAAAAATTCACCAGGAGTTACTGGCGAACCTATAATTTTTAGCCATCTCATCACTAAAATGATCACTTGAGTGCACCATAGGAGGCGAACAGTAGTCTGTCTCCTTGGGGGGGGGAAGGAATTGAACGCATGCCTTCAGTCCTTTCCTAACAACCAGAATGCCGTAAGTGGCACTGTATTCAAAATTACGGAAATTAAATCATTCATATCTTTACAGCAAGCAACTGAAAGACTACTTTAATAAAGATCATTGTAGAAGAAATTTCAACATTATTACTGCCCTATAGCAAAGAAATGTTTTTCAGTGGATCCATTAAAATAGTAGGCAATAAATCTAATTGAAGGCTCAAAATTAAATGTGGAACCTGTGAAAAAAGACAATACTATTAAAAAAATTTCCATACTCTACTAAAATAAATAAAAATATAAAATAGATTGTACTCTTAAAAAAAAAAAAAAAAAAAGAATATCCAAAGGCATTATTTTTGTTCAATGACAATAAATGAAATGTAGCCTTTGAATAATGAAACTCCTAAATCTTGATAGGATTATATATCTGAAACATCAGAGATTGCATATGAGAATAAACTTAAACGGCTACATAAAATGATAAATTACATCACTTCAAAAAATGATATGAGACTTATTGATGACATAAATATAGAACCTAAGGTTTTGAACAGCACTAAAAGAAAAATTTTGAATATAACTGATGTAACATTCTTGATTAAGAAAGGAATTTCTTTTTGACAGGGAAAACAAATTATATAATGACAATTAATTCAACAGGGGGAAAATATAAAAACTTTATGCTATTCCAGATATTATATTCTGCTTGACACAGGGCAATCAATCATCTCAGAAAAGATAAAGAAGGAAAAAAATTTACAAAATCAAAGTATGATCGGGAAGTTCTTAGAATAGATTTTTAACAAAATTATAAGAAAAATAAGTAAAATAAATTTGATTTATTTAATTTTTAAGTGTATTGGTTTTTGAATATCATTTCTTGATACTTATTTTTGAATATATGTAGTAATAAATGGAACAGATTGAAGAACTGTGAAAGGAAAGTTACACATAAGTAAAAATACAATTATAACAGTAATATTAGCACAAAATAATGAACAGATTAAAAAATACTTGTATGGATGAAGTTAAAATTATATGCAAGGGATTCCTGAAGTGCTAACCATATCTGTACAAATGTTGAATTTGTGAACATACACATTAATATCTCTACAAATGTAGGATGTATTAAATCAATTTTAACATCAAAACTTTAATTACTAAGTGAATAAATGCATATTTGTCACGTATTTCGCGAACCCATTTCCGAAAAATAATTTTGACGCAGTTCTGAAATAATACAGCATTACTTATATGAAAAGTTTACCCTGTTTTTCTTCACATACGTAACTTAAATACAAATTTGATTTTCAAAGAAACTCCTCACATGCATCCTCCCCAATATAGATAGAACTTAATGCTCTTTTATAATAAATTATATATAAATTACATACTTATCTACACATTCTTATTTGAGTTTTATACACATCTGCAACACATTTCTTTAATAATACAAATCCTTTATGTAGGCATACCTCCAAATGCAGACAACATTTAGGATTTTCTTTTTTGCTATTACTAAATTAGTTACTCATATAAACATTCTTATACACTTTTGATTCACTTCTGAAACAACTTAGCAACATAATACAGCTTTAGACTAGAAGAGAAACACGCTAATGTGACAATCAAAACCGTAAAAAACAACCTTATATTTAGCGTAGGTATAATGAGCGTAGGCACTGGCCGCCTACTTTTACTGAGCCAGGCTGTCTGATCAAGCATAA